TATCTATCTATCTATCTATCTATCTATCTATCTATCTATCATCTATCATCTTGGCTATGAATTGAAAGTACACTGGCCTTTTAATGAAACCCAGCTTAGGTTTTGTTCTGTTCTTGCCCCCCTTTTGTCGGAATGCAGCCTTTTTGTCTGGAAAGGCCAAATCCAACCCCAGGCAGAAAACGTTTTCATTCCCCCGCCCCCCCGTGCGATTGATTCATAAATCTACATGGGGGAAACTGAGTCATCCTGCATTCCTACCCACATTAGTGAAATTGTCACGGTGCAGCTTGAAGCTCCAGCTGGGTTTTAACGTGAGATGCACAGAGCTTGGATTGCACCCTTTGAGGCCACTCTCTTTCCTTTTTATGCTACAGTTAATCCTCGACTTACAACCCTTCATTTAGCGACTGTTCAAATGGCCCTGAAAAATAGTAACTTACAACAAGTCCTGGCATGTATGGCTATTGCAGCATTCGCCCGGTCATTGTATTCAAAATTGCATGCTTAGCTACCGGCATGCAGAGTCCCAGGGTAACAATTTTGTGACATTCCCAGCCGACTTCCAACACCCAAAGTCAAGGGAGGGAAAACCAGTTTCACTTAATGACCAGTTTCATTTAATTCACTTAACTGCAGTGATTCACTTAACAGCAGTGGCAAAAAAAGGTCATCAAATTGGGAGCAACTCGCTCAGAAATTCTGGTCCCAATGGCAGTCGTAATTTGAGGAGTTCCTGTACACCCTTTAGACCCCTCCCCCCGCCCCCCCGGTGGCTCCCCATCCCAGGTGCACAAGTAAGAGGGCGGTTGGGCTGGCCTAACATGGTCTCTCCCTGCATCCCGTAGGCGTTCACAATCTCCCCACTTTTTAAAAATGTTCTTAATAAACCGAATATATGCCATGCATCCGTGTTATGTTGGTCTCCAGTGCTTCGCTCTCGGTGGAAGAAATGTGGCGCTCACCGTGGTCTAAAGCAGTGGTGGTATTCAACAGGTTCTGGCCAGTTCTGGAGAACCGGTAGCGGAAATGTTGAGTAGTCCGGAGAACCGGCCAACCCCATCTCTTCTCTGCCTCCCATTGAGTCCCGGCTGATCGGCTGGGTCTCCTTTGGTTGCCCTGCCCAGGAAAGCAGGTCAGTGGGGTGGGGAGGGAAGGGGTATCTTGCAATATCCTTCCCCTGCCACGCCCACCAAGCCACACCCAAGTCACCAAGCCACGCCCACGGAACACCATGCCCATCAAGCCACACCCACAGCTGATCAGCTGGGTCTTCTTTGGTTGCCCTGCACAGGAGAAGGGAGCTGGAAAGCAGGTTAGTGGGGTGGGGAGGGAAGGGGGATTTTGCAGTATATCCTTCCCCTGCCACGCCCACCAAGCCACGCCCACAGAACCGGTAATAAAACAATTTGAATCCTACCACTGGTCTAAAGGGGGCAGGGAATTGGGAAGGGAAAGAGGAGGCACTTGCAGGCCAACCACACTCCCCTGGACCCTCAGGCAGGTGCCAGTCTGCCCCATGGAGCTGAACGTTCACCGAGGAGAAAGGCTGGACATCCAGGGAGAGGAGGAAGGCCTCTTCCACTCCTGTTGGGCTACAGCTTCCATCATGTCTTGCATTCCTGGCTGAAAACGTGTTAGGTTGGGAAATGGGAGATGGAGTCCAAGAGTAAACTTCCTCCTGGCCTCTGGCTGCTTCCCAGCTTGTGGCTACTCTAGCAATGGCCCTTAGACTTCTATTCGGCTTCTCACAGCGCTTTTACCACCCTCTCTAAGCGGTTTCCAGAGTCCGCCTCTTGCCCCCCAACAATCTGGGTCCTCATTTTACCAACTTCAGAAGGATGGAAGGTGGATCAAACTGCTGGCAGTCAGCAGAATTAGCCTGCAAATTAGCTTGCATTCTAACCACAGGGAGGAGGGGAGGGGAGGGGGAGAGGGAGGGAGGAAGGAGAAAAGGAATAGCAATAGTTGTTGTTTGCCTGTATTTATTTTACTACACAGAACAGAGAAAAGGAAACATTAGCGGGGAACACCCCGTGTACACAGCATGTAAAGTTTTGCACACATTTTTCATATGGTGACCGTACATCAGTATGATGGTCAGCACATGAACTGCACCTGCGCATAAAGCAGAGGCGTTTTGGAAACTTGGTTTAAATGTGGCCACCATCTTGATGGCGGAGTCCCCTGCGTCTCGTGCATAAATTCAAACCTCTGAGTAACTGGGAGCCCTCCGCGTGGCTATCCGACTGGAAGGTCTCCAACCCTGATCTCAACCTGAACTCTACTTATGGCTAAAAGGTTTCCCTTTTGATATGGGAAAGCCGAGTGTATTTTCAAGAGCGCTTTCCGAAAACAGAAGAGGAGTGGCAGAAGCAAGGCTGCTGCCAAAGACGGACAGCAGGCATCACAGTGCAGCAATTCATGCGGCTGCTTTAAATGGTTTCACTGCCGAGACAGGACAGAGCATGTGATGCACATCTCACCTCTGCAAGCACTGGCTGGGGAATTCTGGGAGTTGGGAGTCCCCAAAGTCTTAAAGCTGCCAAGTTTGGAGACCCCTGGCATAGACTGAAGAGCTCTAGGATCACCGGCCCCTCCAGCAGCCGAATCAGAGGAGGAGGAGGAGGAGGAGGGGTTAGGGTCAGCATCAGGGCAACCTGAGAGCTCCAAGGGGGAATGGAGCTGGCAGGGAGAGAGAGAGAGAGAGGCGGAGCCTGGGCCATCCATCAGTCCTCAGATGGCCAGTCAACAGCGTCCAGGTCTGGAGGGGGCTGATGAGGAAGAGGAGGAACAGCTGGCTCCAGTGCACAGAAGGCAGAGGAGAGGAGAGCAGGGGAAATCTATGGGCCAAAAGAGCCACCGCTGCTGCTAGCGAAGCCCCACCCTAGCTCTGGGGATCAAAGGCAGCGGGGGGAGAGGAATAGATGCGGCAGACAACTCTTCCTCTTCCAGCCGGCTGGGCTTGTCAGCCTGAGAGAGAGAGAGAGACGTTTGCCGGGCCTGCCGGCACTCCTGAGAAAGGAATCTCTGGAGTTCCCGTCAGAGGGCTTGTCGTGCTTGGGGAGCTGGGTCAGAACAGGCCCCTTGTCTGTGCGCTAAATCAAGGGCTGCAACGAGTGGTGGGATTCGACCAGTTTCCCTACCAGTATTGTGATCGCGCTCGTCACGCCTGTGTGCACGTGCACACCTGACATGCACGCACAGCTTTCCAAGCACCAGCTGAGGCTCTGCCCTGCCAGTCACCTGAGAGGAAAAAGAAGAGAGAAGCGCAGGGCAGGGCCGATCCTGAGCTTTTCTCTTCTTTCTCCTCTCAGCTGATCGTTGGAGCTTTACTTATTTATTTATTGATTTTACTACTGGTTTGGTTGAACCGTGCCAAACCGGGTAGCATTTCCCCAGTGGTTGCAACAGGACAGAGAGATGGGGGCTTTGTAATCTGGCAACGTCAGCCACGGTCATGTTCTCATCCTTCCTACATTCTATTTTGAGCAGCGCTAGATTAGCCCAGAGCCCTGGCTTGAAGGACAGTTGGGGACATTATCAGCCTGGCCTGATTATGTGATTAAGCACAACTACCACGTGTCTCATGTGATCCAGCTGGGGACGGGGGAGGAGCACAGGAGAGGATGAGGGCTGCCACTTGCCTCTGGATCTCTGGAAGGCTTGGTGACTTTTGGTCTCTCTCTCTCTCTCTCCGGCCACGTCTAGACCTAGGACAGCAGAATGGCTGAGGGCTACCAGCTAGGTATCTGGGATGGAGGGTGGGAGTGGGCTGCCATACAGCAGAGGAGGGTCTCACACACACCCCCACCCTCATTGGCAAGGAGGACCAGTCTGCCCTCCTTTCCCAATGCTGAAGCCAACTAGGTCAGAAAGGCTGGATGGTTGGGTTGAGATGGTTGGGTGAGGGTTCGAGGATGTAAAGCAGGATTGGGGAACCTCGGCCCTTTATGACTTGTGGACTTCAACTCCCAGAATTCCTGAGCCAGGCAGGTTCCCCACCCCCACTGCCGTAGGGGTCTCAAAGGCATCCAAATCACGAATGGCCGTAAAACAGCGGTCTCCAACCTCGGCCACTTTAAGACTTGTGGACTTGAACTCATGGCACATCTGCTGGGGGCCCTCAGTGGGGGATCTGGATCAAAGGGATGTGAAGGGAAGGCCTCTGCTCTTTTGGCCTGGAACTGATTGCACTGATTTGGGTCCTAAGGCAGAAACCCACCTGGGACACCTGTCTTGTGGAGATCCCACCAAATGCTCAAAAATGTACTCAACCCCACCCGTGCATTTGAGGGAGTTTGAGACGATATGGCGACCTGAAATAGCAGAACGTCAGGAAAAACTTGTCAAGAGTAAAAGCAGCTTGATGGTGGCTCAGACCCCAAAGAGGGGCTCCTTCCTTGGGGGTCCCAAAGGGGCTTTTTCAGGAGGCAACTGGACTTTTTTCTTTTGAAGGTGTTTCACTTCTCACCCAAGAAGCTTCTTCAGCTCTGACAGGACAGTGGGGAATGGAATGGAAGGATTTATAAAGAAAATTCAAGAATTCTTTCTCCAAAAGCAAACACAGGAAAGTCCCGTTTGCCTCCTGAAAAAGCCCCTTTGGGACAACCATGGCCTGGATGATGGAGAATCTCTACGGACTTCCTTGGGTGTGTTCGGGGGGGGGGGGGGGGCTTTGATTTGGATCCCTGTCCTGAACCTGAAGGCAAAAGGCTTCTTCCGCTCCTGTATTCAGAGGTCTCCAAACTTGGCCACTTTAAGACTAGTGGACTTCAACTCCCAGAATTCTCCAGCCAGTGGGATCCCTGTTCTAGGATTTAAAGGCCCATCACAAACCCAAAAACAAGAAGGAAAGCGGCACTTTTTTCACGGCACTTTTCTTCTGTCCCCTTGAAGGCCAGACGGTGCTCTCCAGCCTCCCCCTTCAGATGCTGCTCTATTTCAACGTCATCTTCCTCCCCTTCTGGTGTCTGTCGGAGGCCGTTATGCTGGAGCTGAAGGTAAAGTGCCCCGGGGCAGCTGCCGAGGGGAACTTCGCCCCCCGCTTGGGATGGTGGGAGGGAGGTTTTCCAGTCTGTGGCGTGACTGGAGCCTGGGGCTTATAGTTGGAGAAATCCTGGGGCTGGATAAGGCTCCAAAGACGGGCAGGAGGGGCAGGAGGGGCATAGCAGGAGGGGCCCATTGGAAAAGACCCCCCCCCCCGGTCTCTTTTTATGTCCCTGCAGTTTAGCTTGCTGTCCCTTTGCTACCAATGCTTGCTGGTTGCTGCGTATGTGACAATTGTCGGAGCAGAATCTGCCCGCCTCCTCCTTGGATACATTGGGAATCTGCAAGAAAAGGTAAGGAATGACAGGAGAATCCGCTGCTCTGCTTAGCTTTCTTTTCGAACACAAGATTCTCACGGCGGGTACAACTCATACACGGGAAATCATGGGATGCCATGGATCCTGTGGTGATGGTGAGGGTGGGGGAGGAAGGCAAAAGTCCAGGTGGCGTCCGCAACCATGCCATCCTCTAGGGCACGTACAAAAGAGCAAGGCCTTGGCCTTTTTGACTCCCTTCCGATGAAGACTCCCGATGGGCCTCATTCCTTCAGAGCCACAGAATGAGATCTGGACTTCTAGTGTTCTGACCCAGGCTTCGTCAAACGTACTTAAATACAAACTTCTTTTAAAAGCAAAACCTATTTTATTGCAACCCTGGGAATTACTTGCGTTCCCAGCCAGAACCAATTAAACACAGTTCCCCAAGATAAGCCCAGGCTTGTCAGCGCTGTGGAATGCTGCCAAAAACAGAAGTCTTCAAATTAATTATAACAGAACCCACCCCCGAAGTATCAGAAAAAAACCGACCAGAGTATGCAGAGCTTCAAGGATTCAGAATCTAATTGAACTGCTTTGCTTCCTGCAAAGTTTTTGTCATTGTGGTCTGACTTTTATCCCTTATGGGAGGGGCAATCACCCCCCCAGCCTTACTCCCCAGTCACCCCTTCTGCTTCAGCTGCTCTCGCCTTCTGGAAGCTCTGTGCACACATGCACACTGGGAACAGGCTCCCCTTGTTCCTCTGCCTCGCTGCTGCCAGACTCCGGAGGCTCCAGAGGCAGCACCCGACTCCCCGATGGTCCTGGCCCCATCTCTGCATCGGATGCAGGACCCTCATCTAAGTCCCCTTCAGATTCTCTGAGTGGTTCCCTTTCTTTCCCACTGTTTGACTCCGCTGCCGCCTACAGGCGAACCACAACATCTAGGGTGATCATTTGCTTAAACTACTTTCCAAAAATTGAAATAAGGAGGGCGGGGGGAATAGAGGAGAGGTTTATCAAGATGCCTTTCTGGAATCTCTTATCCAAACTGAAATATCTTGCCACTGAGAGACTAAAGGAATTTCTCTAAAGGTGCATCTGAATAGCAACAGCAATAGCACTTAAGACTTATATACCGGTTCACAGTGCTTTACAGCCTCTCTAAGCGGTTTACAATATCAGCGTTGTAAACATTGAGCTAGTCAGGATCGAACTATTGGCAGTGGGCAGAGGTTGCCTGCAATACTGCATTCTAACCACTGTGCACCAAGGAAGGAAGGAGGGAGGGAGGGAGGGAGGAAGAGCAATAGCAATAACCGTTAGACTTATATGCCACTTTACAGTGCTTTTACCACCCTAAGTGGTTTACAGAGTCAGCCTCTTGCCCCCAACAATCTGGGCCCTCATTTTTACCACCTCGGAAGGATGGAAAGCTGAGTAAATCTTGAGCCCAGTGGGATTTGAACTCCTGGCAGTCAGCAGAATGAGCCTGCGATGCTGCATTCTGTGGCACTCTGTGGCTCTCTGGACCTGCTCAAGAAGGGCATCTACAGAACTTGGCCAAAAATGTTGAAGGGGACAACTGTAGTGATATGACTGAAGCTGTTGTTTGTATGCATCATTCGTGTGACACACATGGACACAACCCCCAAATTGAACTCTGCAGTCATGGACCTCATCTTAACCTTTTTAACCATCTACCCAATACCAGAGCAGATAAAATTGGAATTGGAAAGGATGCCCAGCATTGTGGGAAGGCAGCAAACAGTGTGGAGGCCTCAGTTGCTAAGGGGAGAAAGAGACAGTGCATCTCCTTCAGTGGTTTTCCTTCTTCTGCAGACTTTTTATGAAAGATGAGGAGGGAGTGTGGGCATTTCTCTGTTAGAGTTGTGAATCATTTATCAATGTCGAAACAGATGCAACATTCCACATTTGCCAGTGGGTGTTTCCTGCAACCCCGATTTCCTGTTTTGAGTATCAATTTTGCTCTCAGAAGACAAGTCCTTGGAGAGAGCAGGTGCCTCTTGATTCTGGCTCATTCACTATAGGACAGCCTTGAATGTCAATTCAGTTGTGGATAAATTTAGACATTATCGCTAAATATCTTCCACCGAAATTGAGGAGTCTGGGGTCCCTGCAGCTGCAGCCCTGAAAGAGAAGTTGTTGTAGGGCTCATGTTGAGGTATTCCCCATTAGGAGAATGAGTGCACTCAGGGAAACATAGCGAGAGTGGTGATGAATAACAACCAGCATACAGATACACTGAATAGTAAAATGTTAAGTTTTTACTTCCAGTAAACGCGTAAACAAAGTCCAACAAACAGTCCAAATCGTACACAGTTAAAGCAGTTAGTATTCAAAACAATCAGTCCAGGGATAATCCAAAAACAAAGTCCTTTTCTTTATCAGTATCATAAACAAAGTTCAGTAAACAGAGTTTGTGAACAGTTGCAAGACTCACAGCAATTCAAACAGAATGACGTTCAGGCAAAAGGCAAAAAGGAAATGCAAAGAAGAACAAACCAGGTTTCTGGCTCCATCTTATGGCCATTGGAGGAACCTCAGCCAATCACAATTACAACATTCTCTTAAAGATACAACAGTATTAAATGACTATCCTGGCTTATATATTGCCAACCCAACTGTTGGGTGACTATCATTCCTAACAGCTCTCATATAGAGTGGAGTTTCAATTGTTGGGCAAGGCTGCCCTCTGACCTTTTCGGATCCTTCCTGTGGATACACCTGACCAGGTGTCAAATATCAAATATCTGGTGAGTTTTCAAAACACATTAATCTAAAATATTGAGGCAGAGAAGAGCATTAAGAGGAACAGTTTTGGTTTTCAAGGATGCCCAGAGGCTTCTGAGATTTGGTTGAAATTCATGATGAATTTAGGGGCCAAGTGTCAGTTCCAAGTAATACACCCACGGTGAACAAAATTTCGAGGCAGGTAGATTCCTCAAAGAATAGTTTTATTTGGATATATATTGGCAGAATTCTGAGGAAAACCAACTCTGAAGGTTCCCAGAGTTTTCATCTAGTTAAAAGTCCCCCCCGCTCTTCCAAACAGTCACATGATCCAATCAAGGTGCCATCTGGTTGCCTGGTGACATCACCCCTCCTCCCTCTGACCAGGTTTAATGTCCTTGGTTCCCAAGAGAAAATATTTTGTTTTGACCACAAAAGCCCAGCTATCTCTATTCCCCCGCTCTCTATCCCTTAGCTCCAGCGTGGCAACACTGAAGCTCCAAGATGGCTTTGGTGAGGTCAGCTTCAGGGTTGACACCAGGTTAGTCTCTTGAAAGGTAAGCACTGCATGGAACCATCCCCCCCCCCCCTTGGCTCCCACAGGTTCCAGAGCTGGCTGGATTCCTCCTCCTGTCTTTTGTCATTGAGATGCCCGTCTTGCTGTTCATCCTGACGGACCATCAGGTGATCCAGATGCCTCTGGAAATGGCGGTGCATGGTGTCCTCCTCTGCTTCCTCACCTCGGAGATCATGGCCGCTTCCTTTGCCCTCAAAGAAATGGCCATGTACCTGGCCAGGCAGTTCTACCTGATGCAGTTTGAAGGGCTCCCGGGCAGAGTTAGGCACCAGGAGTTCTGTGTGGAGGAACCATCAACATGCCCCAGTTACAGGGCAAGAGGCGCTAACCACCCACTTCCTGCAAGACAGGGGAGTCCTTGCCAAAATTAAAAATGACTTTGGGCCAAGGGTGGGGTGGGGGGGGCTTTGGGAACGTCTGTTCCTCTCAAGTTTCTTTTCTGGTAAAGTCTGTTTGTTTTGGTTTTGCTAGCTTTTCATCGGGGCAAGCCCAGCATTTGGGGTTCTCCCAACTTCCCATGTCTCCAAATGCACCGAGGGTAGTTCCTGGATCTTGAGGTTTCTCAAAAGCTCACTTTAAATTTCTGGTGGCTTTAACCCTCCTGTTTCCCATTTTCACTTATTCTAAACGTCCATTATTTTTCCAGGATCTGGGGAAGGGCAGTGGGGCAAGGGATTCTTCTCCCAACTATAGGGAGCCCCCTCTGAAAAATCTGTGCCTGGCTCTGTGTCCTGCATTTAATATTTCCAGTTTACTACACATTTGAAATAATTATGGGGTGTGCTGGGTGTGTGGGGGGGTGGGTGGGGAGGGGGTTAAGGCCCAAAAGACCAGAAGAGAGACCAGGGTGCTGGGGCCCCCAAAAGCATAGCAGCCTGTGGAGTGGTGGGTTACACATAGAACACCCCCCCCGCCCCGTGTCTATGTGATCCCCAGATGGCAGCCTGGATATGGGTAGCAAGGCTGAATGCCTACCTGAGGGAGACTTCCTGCCTCATTATGGGGGCTCTTGGGATAGTTTTAATTAATAGAGACCTCTCCCCATCTCAGCAGGACCCCTGCTGCCCCACGGCCTCTCTTCTCAGCCCCCGGACCCTCCCAAGACAACAAAGCTTAGGCAGATACCATGCTTGGAGGCCACCCTCAGCCTGTGTTGGAGCAAGGGAGGAAAAATTATGGGCTGGGAGAGAAAGACAACGTGTGAAACTGTTAAGCCCTGCGTGGCCATGTACACTTAAAACTCCCACTTGCTTTGGAGAGGCAACATAATTAGTCAACACAAAAAAGCCAACTTCCCCCCAGGTTTTATTAATACATGCTTTTAGTTGTTGTTTATTTTTTTGTGATAGGTTGCTCACAAGGCAGAGCCATGGCTCACACTTGGCTCAAAATTTCTGGGATGTCCAGAGAGGAGATGAGATGCCTAGAAATCAGTGGGATGTCAGTAAAATCCTCTTAATTTCTGCTCCCTGGTGGGGTTCCCATACTGCATTCATATGGGGAAACCACATTCATCCTTTTTATGAAATTACCTTCCTGCTATATTATAAAAAATCAATTATAAAAAAGAGACTTTGCATAAAATCATCTAAGGGCAATTAAAACATACAAAACAATAAACCAGAAGGAAGTGGCAATACTGCCAGAATCTGACTGCTAGTTCAAGAGAATCTTCAGCACCCTCACAGATTTTTTTTTCAAGAACATACAGAGTTATACCAAAAGGTGGATTTAGTAAACAACTATATTTTAGCCTAGTGTGCTTAGCTGACATTTTGGTATGCAACATAAATGAAGATTAATTTGAATAATTCCCTAAGCTAACATTAAGTTAACCATGGATAAGCATGATGGAGGCTTCCAATTATTTTTCCTATTTTGGAAGAACACATTTTAGACATATTGGTCTTCTCATCCTTTTCCTGCGATATAATTTAAATTTATTCTACTTGTGCAAAGACACCTGTGGCAACTTTTCTAATTGTCCTTAGAGCCAATTTGTTCTGTTTTAGCTATGGCCTGATCTGATAACTTGTGTGGAGGTTACACTTTAGAACCAAAAGCAGACAATGATACTGGAATCCAGGCCTCCAGATTAAAGAGCTGTGACTATTTTAGACTCTCCTTGAATGCAACCAGTGCAGTGGGGTCTGCCGTTTATTTATACATGTTAAAAGTTATTTGTCACCCTTCTCACCACGAGGTGGTCGTCATGTATTTTCATTCGCACATCCTTAGTAAGCTTCTACTCTGGTGTCATGAGTCTCAAAGTGTCCATGGACATCTCCCTTGGTGGCCTCCATGCTGGTTGCTTGTGACTTAGTATTTTTAAAGAAAGAAGATCGGCTGCAAAGCAAAACGTTGGTCTTTAGCATCATCATCATCATGGAGAAAAATACCTCTGGCCCACAAAGTCTTCTTCAGAAATAAGTACGTGTTAAGAGAATTTGCAAGCCCGGGTTAAAAAGATACGGCAGAGGTCATGAGGGAACAATGGGATGGAAGACCGGCTTTTTTTTTTCTTTTTTCCTTGCAAGATACATTCAAAAGGGGTGGATCTTGGAACAGTCATTATCACCATCTTTTCTGTTCATTTTCTTGACATCCCCCTCCCTACCCAGACATCCCTGATATGTGCTCACCTGCACATAAATCTGTCTGGTAGTGATCGGAGGAAACTTGGGAGGGTCCAACTTTAGTTTGCTTTTTACTGAATTATCTGTGGACACATAATGTAGGAGTCCCCTAATAAGCAAGAGTGATTTTGAACTAGTATGTTGCATTAAGCCAGTAAACACGACAATATACACTGCTCAAAAAAATAAAAGGGAACACTTAAACCACACAGTGTAACTCCAAGTCAATCACACTTCTGTGAAATCAAACTGTCCACTTAGGTAGCAACACTGATTGACGATCAATTTCACATGCTGTTGTGCAAATGGAAGAGACAACAGGTGGAAAGCAGAGGCAGTTAGCAAGACATCCCCAAGAAAGGAGTGGTTCTGCAGGTGGTGACCACAGACCACTTCTCAGTCCCTATGCTTTCTGGCTGATGGTTTGGCCACTTTTGAATGCTGGCGGTGCTTTCACTCTCGTGGTAGCATGAGACGGAGTCTACAACCACACAAGTGGCTCAGGTTAGTGCAGCTCATCCAGGATGACACATCAATGCGAGCTGTGGCAAGAAGGTTTGCTGTGTCTGTCAGTGTAGTGCCCAGAGCATAGAGGCGCTACCAGGAGACAGGCCAGTACATCAGGAGACGTGGAGGAGGCCATAGGAGGGCAACAACCCAGCATCAGGACCGCTACCTCCGCCTTTGTGCAAAGAGGGACAGGAGGAGCCCTGCCAGAGGCCTACAAAATGACCTCCAGCGGACCACAATGTGCATGTGGCTGCTTAAACGGTCAGAAACGGACTCCATGAGGGTGGTATGAGGGCCCGATGTCCACAGGTGGGGGTTGTGCTTATAGCCCAACACCATGCAGGACATTTGGCATTTGCCAGAGAACACCAAGATTGGCAAAGTCGCCACTGGCGCCCTGTGATCTTCACAGATGAAAGCAGGTTCACACTGAGCACATGTGACAGACATGACAGGTTCTGGAGACACCGTGGAGAACGTTCTGCTGCCTGCAACATCCTCCAGCATGACCAGTTTGGCAGTGGGTCAATAATGGTGTGGGGTGGCATTTCTTTAGGGGGCCGCACAGCCTCCGTGTGCTCACCAGAGGTAGCCTGACTGCCATTAGGTACCGAGGTGAGATCCTCAGACCCCTTGTGAGACCATGTGCTGGTGCGGTTGGCTCTGGGTTCCTCCTAATGCACGACAATGCTAGACCTCATGTGACTGAAGTGTGTCAGCAGTTCCTGCAAGACGAAGGCACTGATGCTATGGACTGGCCTGCCCATTCCCCAGACCTGAATCCAATTGAGCACATCTGGGACATCATGTCTCGCTCCATCCACCAAGGCCACGTTGCACCACAGACTGTCCAGGAGTTGGGGGATGCTTTAGTCCAGGTGTGGGAGATCCCTCAGGAGACCACCCACCACCTCATCAGGAGCATGCCCAGGCATTGTAGGGAGGTCATACAGGCACGTGGAGGCCACACACATTACTGAGCCTCATTTTGATTTGTTTTAAGGATATTACATCAAAGTTGGATCAGCTTGTAGTATTGTTTTCCACGTTAATTTTGAGTGTAACTCCAAATCCAGACCTCCATGGGTTGCTAAATTTGATTTCCATTGATAATTTTTGTGTGATTTTGTTGTCAACACATTCAATTATGTAATGAACCAAGTATTTAATAAGAATATTTCATTCATTCAGATCTAGGATGTCTTATTTTTGTGTTCCCTTTATTTTTTTGAGCAGTACGTACGGCTGAGTGTTCAGAACACACTAAACCCTAAATCTGGATGAACAAAACCCTAATTGGTGTGTTCACACATGTGATGCTCAGATAAAAATCTCTTCTGATTGAGCAGAATGGCCTTGTTCGCATCCTGGGCCCAGAGAACAGCAGGATCAGAGGACAGGTAGTCCTCAAGGTATGACCCTAATGGAAACCGCCCATTAAGGTTGTAAATCAAAAATATCGTAAAATGAAAGAGACTCAATTTTAGTATTTTTTTTTTACTAAGCTTGCTAATTGAATCAAATAAGTTAAGTGAGTTAAATGATCACCTCCATTGTTAAGTGAGTAGAGGGGCTTTGGTGTGGGACCTCCCGAGTCCTGCCACCTGCCTATCAGCTGTTTCTAGCCAGGCTGTGCAGCCTTCTGCCCAGGAATTGTCTCCAGGCAGGTGCCCAAAGTGGGGAGGGGATGACTTCCTCCCAGCTAGGGGACGGCAGCAGCTCCCTTGGCTCTCTGCCAGGGGAAAAAGGAACAGTAGCAGCCACATGCTACCCATGTTTACCCTGGATTGATGGATTCGTGGCTCTCCCCTCTAACCCTCCCCACCACGAGCTGAAGGCTGGTCCTGAATCCTCACCTAAAAAAACAACCCTGTGAAGTAGGGCAGGTTAGCAGAGTGGCTGGCACACAAAGTTTAAGCTTCCAAGGCTGAACCACACCATCATCTTTGCAGACAGCATCAAGCCAACAGCTGTAGCATCCAGTCTTCAAGCCCCACCAAGGATGCTCCATGCAGCAGCTATTGAGAATAAAACTGCACTGCCTACAAAATTCCCAGATCTTGATTGGCCATGTGACCAGGGGGAAAAAAATGTGCCGACCATTTGGGTCTCCAGAAATTGCCTGTCATAACCCCAGGTGAAAAAAGGGAAGTCGTGGGATTCAAAATGGCCCCCAATGCAGGAGTGACTGAATCCAGGTCACATGGCTGCAGAGGCTTCTTCTTGGATGCAATTTTGAGTTCCTAGGGTAAGTACAGATTTGGGGTAAATTTGTTTAATGGATGTTTCTACCTGTACAGTAGATCCTCTGGTGATGACCGTAATCTGTTCTGAGAATTTGTTGTCACCGTATTTGGTCATCACCAAAAGTACATGTGTGTAAAAAAAATGGCAGGGTGCAGAAGGGCAAATCGCTGCGGCTGTGTTTGGTTCCCACCTGAGCACCTGTTCACCACCAGAGGTAAAAAAGTTTTGTTCATCACCCGATTTGGTCGTGAACGGAAGCATTTGCAACCAGAGGTACTACTGTATTAGGGGATAGATCTGGATTGCAAAATGTGAACCACCACTAGAGGGCAGCAATACCTCTGCTGCCATCTAGTGAGCTTTTGTATTTTGACAGCCCAGATTTTGTCTCTGTCAGTGTTATTTCTAAAATAGCCCACTGGAGAAGTCTCCCTGTCCTAAAGATATGCCCTTGCCTTCAGCCAATGTAACTGTTAACTTTCACTGCCATGAACAGAACCACAAAATAATGACCTAGAAATGCGGATGACTTGCAGTGTTCCTCTTTCCTTAGCCCAATATATAGCCAAGGATTCCATGTTGGGTCAGGCAGTGCAAGATCCCATTTTTTTCTGTCCCTCATCATTGCAAATCTCTGTTTTGCAATCCAAAAGGCCAAAGCAAGGCCTAATTCAGGGATTCTCCAGTGCTGGAAACCACCACAAGCAGCAACAGACAACATAGTGATGGCCCTTGGAATGCTAGGAGTTGAATACTGGCAAGTCCACAATACTGGCAAGTCACATTGGACCAGGTTGGTCTGGGACAATAAAAACTCATCGTTCTCTTCTTCTGGTGCAAGAAGGAAAAGCTGCAAGGACTGTCAACCTGCTAAAATTGAGGCAGCTGAAGCAAGCAGATGGTGCTGGATGGCCCAGTCGGCAGTAACTTCTTCACCTTTTGAGATGCTGCTCTTTTAAGTGGCAGCCAAGGCAAGCTTGTTGTGATGACCCGGAGTGTAACACAAACGTAACAAAATCCAAAATGTAAATAAATGTCCTTTAATGCCTCCAACTTGGTCCCACTATTCAATAATTCTCAATTGGAGATAAAACGTACTCAAAAATACTCTTCAAAAGAAAGCAATACCATCCAAACTTAATAAGCAGATAGAGGTGAAATAAAAAACCAAACTACAATGAAGAAATTTGCACAACGGACCAGGATAAGTAATTACCAACTTCAAGGAGATAACAAGGCAGTCTGTTGGAAGGACGCCAAGATAACTTCAGCCCAAAATAAAACATGCTTTGCTTCTGGCAAAGCTGTGTTGTAATCATCTCTCTTATATACTATTCTCCCCAGCTGCAACCAATGAGTGGGATCATGGCCATTTCCCCTCTCATAAGCCAAGTTGTTTCCTTTTCCCTTCCTCCCTGCGTGTCCCAGGATGAAGAGGGGATGGGCCCGGGTCCTCCTGACTGCCCAGCTGGTCTCTGCCCTTCCCCAGCCTCCTCCACAACCTCCGAAGCCACACCTCCACTCCCTGTTGGCTGTTCCTCCTCTCCCTCAGAGTCCGACTCTAACAAGGGCATGACACTTGTGTTCAACCTCTTTGCTTCTGAAATAAGCCAGAAATGTCTGTATTTTCTCTCAACACCCTGAGCCAAGAAACCGCATTATGGCGTAACATGATCTGTGACTCCAAATTCTTCTCCCCTATGGCCACCAGGTTGTGTATCATCTGTTTCCTTCTTCTATTGGCTGTGCTACGGCTTTTGCACACTGTTGAGTCAGAATCAGAACAGAGCTGGAAGGGACCTTGGAGGTCTTCTAGTCCAACCCCAGGCAAGAAGCTCTATATCATTACAGACAAATGGCTGCAATTTTTTTCTTAAAACCTCCAGTGATGGAGCACCCACAACTTCTGGAGGCAAACTGTTCCACTGGTTCATTGTCCTGTTAGAAAGTTTCTCCTTAATTCCAGTTTGCTTCTCTCCTTGATTAGTTTCCATCCGTTGCTACTTCTCCTGCCTTGTGGTGCTTTGGAGAATAAGTTGCCCCCGCTCTTCTTTATGGCAGCCCCTCAAATACTGGAAGACTGCTATCATGTCGCCCCAGTCCTTCTTTTCTCTAGACTGGCCAAACCCAATTCCTGCAACCGTTCTTCGTATATTTCAGTCTCCAGGCCCTTAATCATCTTAGTTTGCTCTTCTTTGCACTTTTTCCAACGTTGAATGAAGAAGCCATTGATAAAATAGTTTAACTAATAAGGTTTCTCTTGCACAATTGTAGGTTTTTTTTTTTTTTTTTTGCAGCACAGGTTGAAGCAAGGAGCTGTTTGTTTATCAAGCCGGCTCCTTTTGCAGGGCTGGAGAGCAACCTCACGGAGGCGACCAACAGGCATGGCGGGGCTCAGCGTGGAAGCCCCCCTCGTGCCATTCTCGCCCCTCTGGCCGGAGGGGGCGCCCGGCATGGTCGGAAGGGCCACAGTCTCCGAGGCTTCGGACTCCCCCAGGCGGCCCCTCGCAGGATTCTTGGCCGCGTCAGTTGGCCTTGCTCGACGCCGTCTTCCGCTTGAGCCTGGAAGCGGCGGGGGCATCGAGGCCTTGGCGAAGCTTCAGCCCGCAATGGGGCCAGCAACGTCTGCCCTGGAGGCCGCAAAGAACAGGCTTTCCCTTCTATCCGGGCTGACGGGGCTCCGCGAGGCCGCTGCTTGCTCAGTTTGCGGCGAGCCTCGGCCGCCAGCGGGATACAAGCAGCTCGAGGCCTGTGAGGGAAGGCCGGCCTACGCGAGGCACCAGAAGGCCCGGCACATGGGTTGCCAAGGCAACGCGAGCGGGAGGTCGATCGGTGACGGCTCCCTTCCCTCCTCCAATGGTCACGCACGATTTCCGGATGCGCCCGCCCCTTCCGCTCGCCGGCCTCCTTCCTCGGTCCCCTTCGCGGGCGACGCCGTTGCCATGGCAGCAGAGGAGGCCGAAGCCCAGCCGCGCCGATGCCCAAGCTGCCGCTCTCGCCTGTGCCCGAGCAGGAGGCCGACGCGGCGGGGGAGCGGCTCTCAGGGAACGCGTCCCCCGCGTCCCTCGCTCCGAGCGCCTTCAGCTTGCGGAACTCAGAGGCAAGGAGGAAAAAACCGCCTCCCCCCCCAAGTCGGACCTCAACTTCCTTTACTCCCGAGGCTGTGGATGATGGGAATTGTAGTCCAGCGGCGAATAACAAACGGGGCAGCCGAGTCAAACTGATTAAAAAACCCCCCAAAAAGGGGAAGGACCCGGCCGGGATGGTAGACCTCGGCAGCACGCCAGCTGTGATGAGGGCGGTTGTAGTCCAGTATTGCTGAAAGGCCAGGAGCAGTGCCGGCTGGGGATGAGGGCAATTGTAGTCCAATACATCTGGAAGACCGTGGGGAGCTTTGTCGCGGGGTTGGACTAGATGACCTACAAAGTCCCTTCCAACTCTGTCTGTCTGAACAGGGGTGGCTGGGAATGATGGTGGCTACAGTCCAAAAGAGAGAATGCCACTTTGGGGTTTTATTTTTATTTATATATAGGTAGTCCTCGACTTATGACCACAATTGAGCCCAAAATTTTACCTTAAGTGAGAAATTTGTTGAGTGAGTTTTGCCTGGTTTTACGATTTTTTGTACCAATTTATTCAGTGACTCACTGCAGTTATGAATTGAATAACAGGGTTTGTTAAGTGAATCAGGCTTCCCCATTGACTTTGCCTGTCAGAAGGTCGCAAAAGGGGATCACATGACCTTGGGACACTGCTACGGTCATAAATATGAATCAGTTGCCAAGCATCTATCTGACTCTTGGCCCATGGGGGATGCTGCAATGGTCATAAGTATGAAAAAGGGATCATAGGTCACTTTTTTCAATGATGTAACTTTGCTCGCTAAAGGAACTGTTGTAAGTTGAGGACTACCTCCATTGTCATTCATATTTGATAGAATAGAATAGAATTCTTTATTGGCCAAGTGTGATTGGAAACTCAAGGAATTTGTCTTTGGTGCAAATGCTTTCAGGGTACATAAAAGAAAATAAGATTCGTCAAGGTACAATAGAATACAGAATGGAATAGAATAGTCATGCAGACTTTGTAATAGTTGGACAGTGTTGAGGGAATTATTTGTTTAGCAGAGTGATGGCATTCGGGGAAAAACTGTTGTTGTGTCTAGTTGTTCTGGTGTGCAGGGCTCTATAGCGTCGTTTTGAGGGTAGGAGGAGTTGAAACTGTGAAGGAGAGTGCGGGTTTCCACAAAGACACCTGTCTCTCTTTCCAGTCTAATTTATCCATACATAGCAAAATAAACGATTTTCAATAAAGGTGGTTTAGCTTCCAGTTTTAATGACGGCTTCTCTTGACAAAACAAGAACAAGCTTACCGATAGAGGAGGATATTTGTAGCTCAGGGGTTAAGAGGAGGGGGCCTTAGTGCTGTCTGAACTTGATCAACCTCAAAATAAGATTAAGAATAAGCTCTCAGCGATTGGAACCTGGCTTGTTCCTGGCTCTGTAAAGCAGGGGGATGTGCATAGAATTACATTGGTAGTCAAATGAAATTAAAAAGTCTGGTGTTGATCAGGATTATGGCGATTAAGAGTCCAGCATTGAATCTGTTGAATTAAGAAGAATAAATGAGTTGTAATAATAATATGTGACTGTCCGTAGCTCAGGAGATGCATGATAGGAAACCACAAATATAGGCAACTGGGTTTGCGAAATATGCTTTTTTTCTAAATATGCTTCTAAAATATACAGGGGAAGCCACAATATTGCAGCAATTTCTGCTTTTTATCTATTTTCATGAAAATGGCTGTTTTCTTGCTTATGTAACCATATAAACCACATAAAGTATAAAACCACGTTGAATAGATCATTTGGGGTTCTTCCAGCTTTATAGGAGGGCCCACTTCTATACATATCTAAGTAAACATGACTCAGAAATGAAATTAAATTCTGCCTCTCTGCTTGTGCCAGGCCAGGCCTAGATTTCCTGCTTGATGCTGGTGCAAATTTCTTAGCTTAGTATCCCTTTTGGTGTTTTGTTTTTGTTGGGAGGTGAAGGCGTGCTTGAGAAAGTTACTTGAGAAAGTTATGCTGCAAATTTTAATTACTGGTTTGTTTACCACTTCCTGAGACAGTTAGTTAAAGTGACATAATTACAAAATGAGCTGCTTCTTAATCATGTTAGCAATAGAGGGGGGGAGCCCTTGAATATTTCAAATGTATTTGGTACATTTGTATTTAGAATATTGACAATCTATTATTTATTCAACATCCTGTATTTTTCCCAGCCTGCTTGACAGAAACCATATGTTTTATTCAGGTTTCTAAGGCTGCTGATTTTCCTGACTGGTTGCTATTCCTAGTTTGAAACAAATATCTTGTTTTTCAAGTGTTTTGTTAGCTGGGCCTCTGTATCTTTACCTTTTTTTGGATAGAGGTATGTTTGTATATTTCTGTTTCTTGACACAGTATTATATCAGACTTTTTCAGGGTCCCCTGATACATCAGAATCCAATTGCCAGGAAAACAGCGCCTGCTTGTTGGAGAAAACATTAAACTGTTCTGAAGAAGAAGATGAGGATGGAGAAGCAGCAGAAGACGATCAAATGGAAGAGTGGGACACAGACCTTGAGATAGAAAGTACGGATTAGACAAGTTGCCAATCTGCTTACAGTTGCCAAGGTTGGGAAACATTGAACTAGGCCCAGGGAGACCCAAGAGTCTTTAGTTCATCTTTAACTGTGGAAGCTCCCTGGGTGACTTCGGGCCAGTCAGTCTCTCTTAGACCAACTTACATTACAATATTGTTATGGGAAAAAAAAATAGAGTGAGCACTATGGAAGCCACTTTTAGCTATTGATATAAAGGCAGGATAGACCTCTGTCCAACAGATAAACAAACAAAGAGCTCTCACGGATAAGTTGGCAACTAAGCAAGTATTAGGTATTCCCTCTCCATCAACCTGATATAGGAATAATAGCACTTAGACTTATATACCACTTTACTGTGCTTTATGCCTTCTCTAAGCGGTTTATAGAGTCAGCCTCTTGCCCCCAACTATTTGGGTCTCCTCATTTTACTGACTTCAGAAGGATGGAAGGCTGAGTCAACCTTGAGCCAGTGAGACTCGAACTGCCAAATTGTAGTCAGCAGTCAGCAGAGGTAGCCTGCAGTACTGAACTCTAACCACTGCGCCACCGTGGCTCATTAAAAAACTTAAGACAATCTCATGAGATTTTGGCCACTCTTTCATTAACATTTGTAACCTTTCGTTCTTGCAATTTTTAATTCTGAACATCTGATGCCTAATATCAAAATGTTAGGACCTGCATGCTTTGAGTGGCCAACCTGCAGTCTGAGCAAGGAATATTCCACCTTGGAAATGAAAGCTTGGCATTGGCCATTGTCAGCTTGGCTTCCACAAATCTATTTCTGGTCTATTTCCAAGGCATTGTGACTTTGGTGCAGCTCTTGTGAGTTTCAAAACAAACTCACCAAACTCTTTTTGTGAATTGCTTTGTGTCAACTCATAAAATATTTCTATGGTCTTTTTAGAGTTGCCAACAGAAAGGGAGCGGGGAAAGGGATTTGAAAGAGCAATGCAGCAGCTTGGAAATTGAAAGTGCATTCCATACATAGTTTTTCAAAGATAGTAACTAGGTGACTGAAGTTTCTGCTGCACAAATATCTAATGGGAAAACAATATTGATGACTCTGGGCTATGGATGTGTCCCATTGGAGGATATGAATTACGATACACCCAGGGGGTGGGGGAAACCAGGGTCAAGGGTGACAGTGAATTATGTGCCTCAGAGTCGGCTGTACCCAGGCAGTGCCGGACATGTTATAGGCGATTCGGAGACATTGTCACCCTTGACCCTGGTTTTCCCCCACACCCTGGGTGTATCATAATTCATATGTCATTATCCCCTCTGTACTTTCTGCATACAAGACGACGGAACGAGTATCTGGTGCAGGCATGTCCTTGGGCTGGGGCTAGAGTTTTTAAAAGTCATCTTGCTCTTGCACTGCCAGTAACTACAGATGCTTCCTGAGTCTGGTCGTTTTACAGAAAACCAAGGATGACCATTACTTTCATTTTCCCCTTTGTCTTGGCGTAGAATCTACAACATGCTATGATCCTGCAGGGAAAGCCAGATACCTTGCAATCTGTCAAGCGTACGGCGTGGTCCCTATCTCTTATTTTTTACGGCATATGAAAGATTCTGAGCTGACTGTGAAGCATCGCGGCCTTAGCCCCAAGGTAATTCTGCCAGGTGTCCTCTTCTCTTGGCCTAAACCCTTCAGGGCTTGCTTTGCACTCTGCAAGTATGAATCTCCTCACTGCCTGTGAATATTCTGCCTTCCCCCTCACCTTTTTCCCCATCTGCTTGGGAATACTATATTATATTTCTTTTCTTTTTTAATTTTAAAAAATACAAATATATCTATCACAAAAATACAAAAATCTTAGCTATATTCATACATTTTCAGATATTTTTAATTAGTCCTATACATATACATAATTTATGTCTTATTCTAATCTAATCTATATATTTTCTATTCCTATTTTTTATCCATTGATACCGGTTATCCCAGATTGAATAATATTCCGAGTCTTCCTTATTATTTAATTCTATAATAAGTTTATCCATTTCTGCACACTCAAAAATTTTACAGATTATTAAACAGTCGGTATAGTGGCCATTTTCCAAGATGGTGCGAGTACAATTCTTGCTGCTGTAGTAAATACATATAATCAAATATTTAATCTTTTTACTTTCCCTTAATAATGCCCAGAAGAAACAGTTCAGGCTTCAATTCTATTTGGCAGTGTGTGATTTCATTTAACCATTTTTGTATTTTGATCCAATATTTTTTAATTTCCGGGCAAAGCCACCATACATGGAAATAGGTCCCTTGTGCCTGTTTACATTTCCAGCAGTTAGGGTTCAAATTGGGGTAGGGAATATTATATTTCCTTACAGAGTAGTTTGTGGAAATAGTCAAGGAGCTTTACAGTACCAACACTAGAGCAGGGGTCCCCAAACTTGGCAACTTTAAGACTTGTGGACTTCAACTCCCAGAATTCTCCAGCCAGCCTAAGTCCACAAGTCTTAGTTGCCAAGTTTGTAGACCTCTGCACTACACCATTGCAGAAATATGTAGGTGCCTGATGTATTCCATTAACTCTTACCTTCAGAACTAAAAATGATCAAGGTGCCTTATGGAGAAAAACATCCAAAGACAATACAATTGTTAGTAGCAAAGCATAAGCAGCCAGTTTGAACAACATAAAACAGAGAAACAAAATAGGCCAGTTGAAATGACAAAGTGGTGAGGGGATCCTTGCCTGGCACTAATAAGATGGCAGAGGGGCTCAGGGGACAGTCTTCCCTCAGAAGCCAGAGCTGATACCCATTGAGCTCTCACCTCACAATCAGGAGGCTGTGAGTTCGATCCTAGGTAGAGGCTAATATTTGGAATAGACTCTCCTGCTCAAGCAATGGGTTGGACTAGGTGACCTCCAAGGACCCTCCCAACTCTGTTATTCTATGTTCTATGTCTGTGAAGGTGAACCTATGGCACAGGTGCCACAGGTGGCATGCAGAGCCATTTGTGTGGGCACGCAAGACCCAGCCAAGCTTACCTACACTGCCCATGTGCGTGCCTCCCAGCTGATTTTCGGCCCGTTTGAGGCCGTTTTCGCCGTCCCAGAGGCCCGAGGGGAGCCTCTGCAGCCTCAGGAGGCTAAAAAAGGGGCCTTCCAGAAATGCCGGAAGTGCCAAAACGGCCCCATTTTCAGCCTCCCGAGTCTCCCGAGGCTTCCCTCAAGCCTCTGGGAGGGCGAAAACGGCCTCAAATGGGCCTCAAATCAGCTGGGAGGCACGCACATGGGCAGTGCAGGTAAGGGGGCAGTGGTGTTGTGTGCGCATGCACGGGGGGGGCAGGGCTCATTGCATTGTGGATGCCAGCACATGTGCATGCATGCTCTTGTGCACACGTGTGCACTTTCAGAACAACCACAACAAAAAGGTTCGCCATCACTCTTCTACGTTCTGTGTCTCCAGAGATGAGGGTTCCGTGCTTTAAATAAGGCCTAAAGTTATTGGGCCAGTTTCGTGGCAAAGCAGCCTGCAGGGCCTTAGCCACCCCAGCTGAGCGGGACTTAGGGATTCAAAGGCAGCAGGTGCTGCTGGCATATGGTGGAGCCCCCCCCCCAAAAAAAACCCCTGTGCTTGATCTCTATGGGAAACAAGAGGCCAGATGCGCCCATGTGGCAGTCCCAGATCAGGAGACGTGGCCTCGTTTTCATGGCTGCATTCCTGCTGAAATAATCCACCAGGAGCTGCAGTGCGTGTCCCTGAGCGGTGAGACTGAAGGCAAACATGGATGGGGCACCTCTTCTGGCCCTTCCATTTCCTTCTCTCTTCCTTATCACAGGTCTTGCTTGGTTAGAGCAGTGGTTGCCAACCAGTGGGCTGGGCACCACTGGTGGTCCCTGAGAAAATTTTGGTGGTCCACCGAGAAATGTCACCCCCAAAGCACCCCCCAAAGCAATTAATCCAGGCTGCGCAGGAACACAAGGCTGCGCCACCCACATGGCCCGCGGGAACACAAGGCTTGCGTCGCTTGCACTGCGAACAACATGAGGTGGTGAGGGGAGGGGGGGGGAAGGGTGGAGAGGGAGAACTTGCCCCACTAACCCTTTGCACCTCGCCTGGCCACTGGGCTGCTTCTTTCTGCTTCTTTCTTCTTCTGCTTTTGGCTGCACGCAAGGAAAGCAGCAAAAGTCTTTCTCTCCCATAAACTCCACCAGCAAGGAGTCTCTGGGACCCTGCAAGGCCTCCTGCTCCAAGAGGCTGCGCCGACAAAGACTCATTTCTGGCTGAGTTTGTGGGAGAGAAAGAAAGACTTCTGCTGCTTCTGCTGCTTTCCTTGCATGAAGCAGACTTTTGGGGGGATTTTCCCAGGGTCTCTGGTCTGCGGGATTTAAAATGATGAGTTTGGTGGTCCCTGAGGTCCAAAAGGTTGGCGACCCCTGGACTAGAGGTCTAAACGGGTCCCTTGCTAGTGGCTTTTCAGTTTTGGCAGAGCCTCTTGTGAAATTCAGGAAAGGCCATGCCAGCTCCCTCTCAGGCTGCAGTTTGTCTGCCCCAGGCCCTCAAACCTTGACCAGAGGACCGGGCTAGATCCCAGCCTTCTGCACACTCCCACCCCCAGCTCTTCCCTGCTCTGCCTTTTCTTTTAGGCAGCCAAAGCGCTCGCTCTTTCCCTGACCAGCAACACATCCATTGTGAAGCTGAACCTGAGTGACAACGGGCTGGATGGAAACGGAGCAATTGCGATGGCGGAGATGTTAAAGGAAAACTGCTACATTTCAGGTGCCCCTCTTAATTGCTTCAGGAGGTCCATGTAATCCATAGCCTTGAGATATTCTGGGTTGGTTGTCAAATCCCCTCTAAAATGTCCAGTCTTGCTCTTTTCATAGAATGTAAAGGTTGAAGCTGTGTTGAAACAGTTCTTAAGGATGTAGTCCTCTTGACTTTTATACCAGGCAACCCAAGTGTAAGGATTCCTAATGAAATGGTGGCTTGTAAATTTGTTTATTTGCTTTACAACATTTATGTGCTGCCCCCAAATAAGGACTCCATGTTTGACGGGTTGAGATGAGGAGTGTCTTTCTCCAAGGGATTTCATTCCCGGTCAAAGGAAGGATTGAGGAACAAAGACATGTTGGGTTAATGGCTCTGGGGGATTTTGCATGATGAGCCAGCTAGCGATCAACCTTCCTCTCTTTCAGAACTTGATTTATCAGAGAACAGAGTCGGGATAAAAGGGGCAGAGGCTCTGTCTGCAGTGCTTCGGGAAAATCCAGTTCTTGTGACCGTGAAACTTTCAGGAAATGAATTAAATGACAGGGCAGCCATATACCTGGCAGATGCTTTAGTGACCAATCAGAAAGTGGAGCACCTTGATCTGAGTCATAACATGCTTGGACAGCCAGCAGGTAAATGTCATAGAAATATTATATTTGAAATATTATATGTGGGAAGCGCTGTAGCACATGTGAGAAAGACACACAGGTACACATGCAATTTGTGTGTTCACTTCATGGCCCTTTGGTTTCTAGCACACCACATACCTTTAAGGGAACATGAATGGTTAAATTAAGGGCCAGTTGTGGTTTTCATAAGCTAAGAACTAACCATTAGGGCAGGAGTCGCCAACCTTTTGGACCTCGGGGATCACCAAACTCATAATTTTAAATCCCGCGGACCAGAGACCCTGGGAAAATCCCCAAAAATGTCTGCAGGAAAATTGCCCACCCCGTTTTCCTACCGACCAATCGTTCTTGATTTGGGAGCGCAGGATACCGTCTTCAGCTCCATTCTTGGGTGGGGGGGAGGGAGAGAGAGAGAAAGAGAGAGAGAGAGAGAGAGACTTGGCTTCATGCAAGGAAAGCAGCAGAAGCAGCAGAAGTCTTTCTTTCTCTCCCCCAAACGCCGCCAGAAATGAGTCTTTGCTGGCGCAGCCTCTTGGAGCAGGAGGCCTTGAAGGGTCCCAAAGACTCATTCCTGGCGGAGTTTGGGAGAGAGAAAGAAAGGATTTTCCTGCTTTCCTTGGGTGCAGCCAAAAGCAGAAGCGGAAAGAAACAGCCTGGTGGCCAAGCGAGGCGTGTGGGTCTGCCCTTTCCCCCCTCCCCTCACTACCTCATGTTGTTCGCAATGCAAGCAACGTAAGCCTTGTGTTCCCGCGCAGCCTGGATTAATTGCTTTGGGGGTGACATTTATCTGCAGACCACCGAAATTTTCTCAGGGACCACCAGTGGTCCCCAGCCCTCTGGTTGGCGACCACTACATTAGGGTTTACTGTTGTTGGGGGGAAAGACTTGCTGGGCTGTGACCCCTTCCCTCTCTCCCTGCCTTCCCCTTTCTTCCCTTGTTACCTGCTGTGGCTTGGAATCTCCTCCTTTGCCTCATCCCAGGAGAGGTTTTGACTTCCCACCAGCCCCGTCTCTTTCTTCTCCTTGTGTTTTGAAGAAGACTTTATGATTTGATGGAGAACAGGCGGGGACAAAAGGAAGAGAGAGAGAGAGAGTACGCAGAAAATAGGGAAGAGCTACCAAAGTTGAGAAAGCGAAAAAGAAAATTAAGGTAGGGATTAGAAAATTGGGCTCACTTAAGTTTCTGTTTGCCCTTTAAGAGTTTTATCCATTGGTTTACACCCCAAAAATTGCTTCTTGAAATAGAATTACTGATACGTAAAAAAAAATTGTGTAGGAGTAATTAAAAGCAGTATAAAAGGGTTATCAAAATAATTTATTTAGCATATGGCATGCCATACGTGGACTAGCAATATCAATTAACAAGTCAAAACAATATGAATAAGAGAGAGAGAGAGAGAGAAAGCCAGAACTGGGAAGATAAAAATATACATGTATTGCTGAAAAAGCATTACAATTAGCTCCTGATCAACTCTTCTGAGGGGGGAGTAGTCCACAAAACGGATAAAAAGCTGAGTTGACTTTGGTTACCTACAGACATTGTTCCCTTGCGGAAAAAAATACAAAGGGTGCTGCTAATATTTTCTTGTAGGACATGTGAAGTTTGTCTTCCTAGTGCTGGCCAGAGTTTCCCTTAGCTTTATGTGACAGCGAGGTCAGCCAGAAGCTGCAACCTGCTGGGGCAAAGTAAAGATCCACAACTAAAAAGGCTATGTCTCTTCCAAATTGGTTGCAAAACCCGCCAAAAACTTTCTCTTAGATCTTCAGTCCAATTTGTGAAAATCTTAAAGTGCCCGAGGAGAACTGGGCTTCTACGTCACACAGTTTAAAAAACTGCTCTAAACTTTGTGGTGGGAACAGCCAGGCTGACCTGAGGGAGGAGAATAAAAAGGGCGTTGGTACTTACCTGACACGCCCGTTCTCTTTGAGCTGTGAAGAGCATCCAGTAGGAGTGGGAGGTGCTTCAGTCTCTGCATGTCTAGGCTGGGCTGAATTTGTGGAACGCTCTTCCTCCTCCATGGGACTCCTCCCCAGCGTTCCCCAGTTTTGGCGAAGACGAGAGAAATAACCGCCCTCGTCCTCAATGCCCTAACAAATTCGTTGGTCGAAACAGGACCCCACCAGATGGAAAAAAGGGTGGGGCTGGATGCTTTTCACAGCTCAAAGAGAACGGGCATGTCAGGTAACGCCCCTTATCCCATGAGCTGTTCAGAGCATCCAGTAGTGGGACATACCAAAGCTTGGCCTGTCCTATAGGAGGGACTCTGTCTGGCCTGGAATCTCCTCCTGGTCCCTGTGGACCCGTTGCAGAACTCTTCTGCCAAAGGAGGCCTCAGCGGATGCAAACACATCTATTTTATAATGCCTAATGAATGGCGATGGAGAGGCTCGACAAATTTCAGTTATTGGTGCCTGTGTGGCCCACACTGCTGATGTTGCGGCGCTCCTTGTTGAATGAGCTGTTATGCCCCTGGGCACCTGCAGGGATTGAGTCTGATACGTTTTCGTTATCGCAGCCCGTAGCCAACGGCCTATTGTAGAAGGTGAGACCTTGCATCCCTGAGTGTTGGGCTGAAATGACACAAATAAGGCTTCCGTTTTTCTGAAAGCCGCTGTGCGGTTAATATATATTCGCAATGCTCGCCTCACATCAAGCCTATGCCATTGTAGTTCCAACCCTTGGGATGGTCTGGGACAAAAATTAGTAAGTATCAGCTCTTGTGCCCTATGAAAAACCGAGTTAATTTTGGGTCAGGACGAAGGACCACCCGGTCAGAATGGAAAACACAAAAATCTTGTCTGATAGACAAAGCTGCAATCTCCGAAATACGACGAGCAGAAGTGATTGCTATAAGGAAAACTACTTTATACATCAGAAATTGGAGACTTGACGATTTCAAGGGTTCAAAAGGGCCCTTAGTGAGTGCGATGAGGACTTAAGGTCCCAGGTGGGATACTAGTGTAGCGCTGGAGGGTGTAAATTTGTGGCTCCTCGAAGGAAACTCCATATGTGTGGATGATGGGAAAGAGATAGTAGACCTTCACAAGTGAGAACTGACGCCAAGGCCGCCACCTGTCTTTTCAACGTATTAGGTGATAACCCCTTGTCAAGTCCCTCTTGCAAGAACTCTAGGATTTGAGCCACAGATGGAGAGATGTGGCATTGTAAATGAGAGTTGTTGAGGGGCATCTGGCGGCTTGGATGGTGGCGATAACTCTGTTGGAAAACTTTTCACTCTTCAGACAACTCCGCTCAACCTCCAGATGGTCATGTGCAACCATTGAGGGTCCGGATGTTGAAGGGGTCCCTGGGTTAGTGAGACCCTGACTGGCAGAATTCTCCATGGTGTTGATACGGATAGACTGCGGGGGTCTGCAAACCACGGCCGTCTGGGCCAGTAAGGAGCTACTAGAAGTAGCTCCACCCTCTTGTCTAGCAGTTTCTGGATGACCTTGGGAACCAGTGGAAGTGGCAGGAATGCTTACAGAAGTCCCGGGGGCCAATGACAGTGAAGCGAATTGAAGTTCCTTGCGAGGGGTACTTGGAAAAAAATCTTGGGAGCTGAGCATTGAGGGGGGAAGCGAACAGGTCTACCACTGGCTGTCCAAATGTCCTGACCACCTCTTGAAACAGGGTTGGATGGAGGCGCCACTCCGATTGATTGATTGTGGCCCTGCTTAGCCAGTCTGCCTGTGTATTCGACAGGCCCGAAATGTGCTCTGCTCTGATGGAAAGTAGGTTGCTCTTCGCCCAATGAAACAAACGCTCCGCTTCCCACATGAGATATTTCGACTGTGTGCCCCCCATTTGTTTATGTGAGCTTTGGCTGTTACGTTGTCGGTCAATATTAGTATGTGCTGATTGCGTACCTGTGGAAGGAAGCTGCAGAGAGCCAGGTGTACTGCTCGAAGCTCCAGCCAGTTTATGCTGCATGACTGTTCTATGGTGGACCAGCGGCCTTGGGTTGTGAGCGATTGAACGTGCGCTCCCCATCCAAACAGGCTGGCATCGGTGGTGATGGTAGGGCTGGTCTGGTCCACCAGAGGAGAGATATGAGGACCTTTGATGGTACCTTGACCTTGTATTTGGAGTTGCTTCGGCCAGTGTGCTGGTACGGGAGCAGGAACCACTGGAGGGATCTAGTGTGGAGCCGGGCCCAAGGGATGATAAATATACATGAGATCATCTTGCCTAACAATTTTGATAGTTCTGCTAGGGACACCCTCTTAAGACCCCTGATCTCCTTGACTAATTGCTGAATGCTATTTAGTCTATCTGGTGACAGGTAAATTTTGCCTTCCACCGTATCTATGACTGCCCCCAGATGGGTTAACCGAGTCGATGGTGTTAAATGACTCTTTTTCCAATTTATTGAGAACCCGTGTTGTTGTAGGGATTGTAATGTGTTCTGAGTATCTTTGACTGCTTGATGAGCGGAAGATGACAAAATCAAGATGTCATCAAGATAACACTGGAGTCATACGGGAATATCACGGATATGAGCAGCTAGCACTGCGAGAACCTTCGTGAAGGTCCTGGGGGCAGAAGCTAGTCTGAAAGGAAGGGCCACATATTCGAAATGGTGGTTATTATAACAGAATCTCAGAAATTTATAGTGGGAAGGCCGAATAGCAATATGTAGGTGCGCCTCCATCAGGTCTATAGAAGTGAGGACGTCACCCTTTCTGATGTCAAGTAAGATAGATTGCAGGGTGCGCATTTTAAACTTGCGATATACTAAGAAACGGTTGAGACGTTTCAGATCCAGTATTGCTCTCTACCCCCCACCCCCACAAACTTTTGGGAACAACAAAAAGATGTGAATAGAAACCTCGACCTCCTTGGTTGGTGGCTACTGGCTGGATGGCTCATATGCCCAGTAGGTGCTGGATAGCTGTTTCCATGAGATTACATTTAACCGGATCTCTGGAAACAGGGCAGGGCATGACATGAAAAAATCTGGGGGAGTGGATTGAAACTCCAGCGCAAGGCCAAATCTAATCGTGTCTCTGACCCAGGAATCAGAGGTTGAGGAGTCCCATTGGTCCGCGAATAATTTAAGGCGTCCGCCAATGGGGGTTGGGTCCAGGGAGTTATCTTGGACGCCGAAAGGACCTGTTTCCTGCTCCCCAAAAGGATCTCTTGGATTGACCACCCCTTCTGCTCCTATCCCAGAAGTCGGACCTGTCTTGCTGCTGCCCTGGTCTGAATGATGGGGTCTCTGGTATCTGGGTGAAAAGGATCCCTGGTAAAAGGGCCGAAAGGATCCCCTCCGAAAGGCCTGAGGGTTTTTAGTATCTGACTTTCAAAAAAGGGAAGGTAGAATTTTGTTTTTGTTTCGGGTTTCAATTAGTAGCGGATCAAGGGAAGGGCCAAACAGTCTATCTCCCACAATTAGGGATGAAGCCAGCTTGCACTTGTGCTTAAAATCCACTTGCCAATGTTTTAACCATAGTAAGCGTCGCGCTGTGACATGTGAAGTAATGGCCCTGGCTGAAAACTTGACCACATAAGTTGCGTCAGCTGAGAATTCAGCAGCTGCTATAAGTTTTGCAATATCTTGGTGCGCTCTAAGATTGGAATTAGGGACATGTTCCCGTAAGAGGCGGAGCCATCTGAGAGAAGAACGGGTGAAGAAGGAGGCGGCCGTGGCTGCTCTGATGGCCCATGCGTCAGACTGATGGGCTCTGCGTAGGGCTAGCTCGTCCCATTTTTCCTCCGGCTTTAATGCCTCCAGCACATCACTGGGAATGGAGGAGGACGCTAATCCCACTATAGGTTCATCTACCTTGGGAGTATTCAGTAATTTTGATAAATCAGGGGCCAAATTGAAATATTTCCTGTCATATCCAGTGGGGGCTGGGTACACCACTGCAGAGGCCCACTGTTTCTGGACCAGGTCCGAAAACATGGGAGGAACTGGGATCACCTCTGCTTTGACTACTGGTTGGTTGAAAATTAGATCTTCTGGTCCCACTTCCGAAGGAGTTGGAGTGGTAGAAGGGGTCGACTTGTTTAGGCATGCAATATTTTTTGCCTTAAACAAGAGCGATCTGAAAAGTTGTGGGCGGAATAAGCCTGTAAAAACAGGTTGGTCAGGAACAAGGCCCTCATCCTCAAACATTCCCCTTTCTAAGGGGTCTACTCCTGACAGGGGCTTGCTGTCCTGTATTGATCCTGATTCAATCTCTTCCATTTGATCCATTTGATCCATTTGATCCACTTCTTCTTCTTCTTCTTCCTCCTCCTCCTCTTCAGTCGGCCCTTGGAGGGGGACTTCCCCTTGTAAATGTACCTGGGTATAGTGCTGCTCCGATCTGGTCAACAACCTCGGCGATTGGGAATCATAATTGGCAATCACAGGATATTCCCTGGTCATAACTGTGTGTTGAAGACCTGCTGCGATTCCCTGGCGGATTGCCAGCTCCATCCAGGACTTCATTCTCTCTGGAACTTCCTCTGGAAGAATGTCGTCCTGACGAAGACCGGCAGCCATCGGAGTGAATGTAGCTTTGGGAGCCCTTCACATGGTCGGTGTCCCAGATACTTGGGCCTGTTGGCCTTGGGGAACCAAGCTGTGCCTGGATGAGAGGGAGAGATCTAGGGGAGGATGAGGGTGGGAAGAGGTAGGCGGACCTGGACTGGAGGAGGGGAAGTTCTGTGAGACCTGGTGCGCCTCCCGTGTGCACTTATCTGTTTTTGTAAAGCTTTATGGTGCCTGATGGCATCCCTTTCTGAAGTTTTAGAAGTCACTTTAGCCTGCTTAGGTTTGTGCTGAGATTTGGCTTTGATCTTCAAGGATGAGGTCTGAGAGCTGCTACTGTCTACCATTTCGATTGAAGTTGGAATTGCAGTATGCTTGTTATACAATGCAATACTGTGAAGGCGGTTGGCACACCCCGGGGCCTGATCTGAGGATAGACCGGTTGCCCTGATGATGTTTCTATTGCCCCCTTTCCTCTTTTTTTTTTTGAATAATACCTATCTATAATGAGTCGTATCTCAGTAATAATATTTTATTGATATTAAAATATTATACCAAAGAGAAAAATATTATTATTGTTGTTGCTGTTATTATTATTATTATTAAGATAGAGGCCTTCAACAGCTTCCCTGCACAGGCGGACACAGGCCTAGGTGCTCGCTGTTGTGCCACTGGGTTGATTGGGCTGTGAGGGTTAAGCCAACAATTTAACTGTAAGAATAGCCTCGAATGTAGAAAAAAACCAAGACGAGGGTATAATGGTCCCCAGTGTTCCTGAAAGGAACCTCTGCTCAGAACAGAGTTACCTTACACAGCACGAAATGGAATACAGGCGCGCGGCCACGAGGTCTTGTAAGAAAAGATGGCCTCTGGCCGTTAATCTTTTGGCGCGCTCCCCAGCAGCAAACTCCCGCCGTGTGAAGGAATAGCCTCCGATGGCTTTTCCTATAAGGCTAAATGGCGGAGAAGGGTGGAAGGCACTAAGCATTTGAATCCTCCACCCCAAGTGGCATTCAGAGGGGGAAGGAAAGCGATACGACTCTTTTGGGAGCAAAGAGTTCACGCCATTGTTCGGGTAAAAGAAACTCTGTGGCAATCTGTTGGAATGGCAGGGGTAGAAAGATCAGTTGTGGGGAGGGGGCGCGGAGCAGCCCCGAAGTCTCCCGCCGCTTTGGGGCATGAATTGGTGCTTCCCTGTAATGCGAGCGATCTCTGTAATGCGAGCCAACATCGAGAGATTGCAATGCGATTAGAAGGCTAAAGGATTCTAAAGACAAGCTGATTAACTTTCAAACCTGCTAGCAAGGAAAGAATTTTTCCTATTTCGGCCAAGGAAGAATCACAAGCACTGCCTATCTCTCACAAGGCTGAGCCAAAACTGGGGAACGCTGGAGAGGAGTCCCATGGAGGAGGAGGAGCATTCCATAAATTCAGCCCAGCCTAGACACGCAGAGACTGAAGCACCTCCCACTACTACTGGATGCTCTGAACAGCTCAGGGGAGAACCTCTCCATGTCATGACGTTAATCACCAGAAAGCTGCTTCTGGAACACTCTGGTTATTCCCACAAGCAGGTGCTCCTCAGAGTTCCTGGCTCTGTGGGAACCTCCTCTTCCTACTGCTTGCAGATCCTACTATCCTTCCCTTCTTCCTCTGTGAGCTGAAATCTCTGCTATGGGGAGAGGAATTGCTTCGCGAAAATTCAGCAACAGAAACTACATTAGGTTGGATAGCAATAGCCCTTAGACTTATATACCGCTTCACAGTGCTTTAAAGCCCCTCTCTAAGCAGTTTATAGAGTCAGCCTATTGCCCTCAACTATCTGGGTTCTCATTTTATCCATCTTGGAAGGGTGGAAGGGTGAGTCAATCTTGGGCTGGTCAGGATCGAACTGCTGGCAGTCGGCAGAATAAGCCTGCAGTACTCATCCTCACCACTGCGCCGCCACAACTCCTGTATGGGGAGAGGCTGCTACTGTAAATGTGGGGTGGGATCCAAGAGGGCGTCCTTCTTTTGCAAAGCCTCCCTCAGTTTGACGTTTCAGGCCTCTTTCCCGTTTCTTGTGTCTCCATCTGCACTGAACCAGGAGAAGCTCTTGGCGTGGCCATGGCGGAAAATGTGGGGCTGAAGAAACTCGACCTCAGCTGGAACAACTTTCGGGGCCAAGGAGCGGTAGCTGTCGCCAAAGGCTTGGGGGTAGGAAAGGGGACTCGGTTTGAGAGTTTCCCAGAGGGATGAAGTTGGAAAGCGTAAGGTGTTATTTCACCCCTCCAACCTCTTAAGGCAGGCGTCTCAAACTCAAGGCCGAGGGGCTGGATCTGGCCCACGGGACCGCCCCGGAAACAGCAAAGGACAGGCCCGCAGTGCCTCTGCTAGCAAAAACAGAGCCAGGAGGGCTATGGGTGACTCCCCCGAGCTCCATTTTCACTGGCAGAGGGTTGCAGGAAGCCATCACAGCCGAAAACGGAGCTCGGGAGCCTATTTTCGCTGGCAGAGCACTTGGGACGCCACAGGCACAAGTGACATCGAGCTGGCCATACCCACCCTGGCCCCCCAAAGTCAAACAAAATCCTCAGTGAAATCAAGTTTGACACTCCTGCTCTAAAGTGCAAACCAGTTTGAAATAATTTAGCTCTGTGTGTTCTAATGTATAGTGCAAGTGCAGGGAACTATGGCAGCTAATGTTTTTTTTATTGTTTTCATGGTTCTTACTGTGTTTATCATTTTAAAATGTTTTTAAGATTTTAATTATAATATGCTTCTAAATTGTGAGCTGCCCAGTGATGTTTGCCGAGATGGGTGGCTCTAGATACAAACAAACAAAACATTTATAACCTGTGGACTTCAACAGAATTCCTGGAAATCGAAGTCCACAGGTATTAAACTTGCCAGAGTTGCCCACTCCTGGTTTAGTGGCATCACAATATCACAGGCCACCTTTCCTGCCTCTCCCAGCAGCGGATAAGGGAAGGTGTGCAGAGTGCAGCAGCAGCCAGAAAAATTAATACAATCCTGGGTTGTACAAATGGAGGCAGAGAATCAAGATCACGCGAAGTATTAGTGCCACTTTATAAAACCCTAGTAAGGCCACACCTGGAATACTGCAACAAATTTTGGTCACCATAGTACAGAAAGAGATGTTGAGACTTTGGAAAAAGTGCAGAGAAGAGCAACTAAGATGATCAAAGGCCTGGAGACTAAAACATACTGAGAAAGGCTGCAAGATTTGGGTTTGGCTAGTCTAGAGAAAAGGAGAATTTGGGGGAGACATGACAGCATCTTCCAGTATTTGAGGGGCTGCCACAAAGGGGGGGAGGTCAAATTATGCTCCAAAACACCCAAAGGCACCACAATGGTTGGAAATTAATCAGGGAGAGAAGCAACCTGGAATTAAGGGAGAAACTTCTTAACAGGGAGGATCTTGGAGCGTGTTGGTGCTGATGGACAGACAGAATCCTACAGTCCTTGTTGGGTGTGTGTGTGTGTGTGTGTGCAGCTGCTCTGGTCTCCTGTGGACACACCACCTTGGACTTTCTCCAAGCTCTGCTAACTCTGCCTTGTTCCACAGGCAAATATATTCCTTCGAGTCCTTGATCTGTCATATAACGGCTTTGGCAACAGTGGGGCAGCTGCTCTGGGGGCAGCCCTGAAAAGCAACAATGTGCTGGAAGAGCTCCACATCGGGTAAGGAGGCGCCTGCACTTCCTGAGGGCTGAGAGCTGTTTCTTAGTCCTCCTAAAGGAGGCACAAGCCAGGAAAGGGAACAGTCTCTAGGAGCTCCCTATTGCCGTCAAGGCAACTGAGTCTGAGGCCATCAAGTGAGTTTCCGGCAAAGGCTGGATTTGAATCGGGGACTGCTCATCTGCTTAGGGGAGAGAGGAGAAACTAGCAGCCGCTTCTCTGCCCTCTTGCCCTCTGCCCAGGCTGCCCAACCAGAACAGAAGAGGCTTAACAAGTTGGAAGGAGCCTTAGGGGTCTTCTAGTTCAACCTCCTACTCAAGCAACTGTAGCCTTTGTGGACTTCAACTCCTCTCTTTCCCTGGCCAGCATGGTCATTTTAAGGAATTCTGGGAGTTGAAGTCCACAAGTCTTACAGTTGCCAAATTTGGGGACCCCTGCCCTCCGCCATTCCAGACAAGTGGCTGTCCAGCTTCCTCTTAAAAGCCTCCAGTGATGCAACACCCACCACTTCGGAAGTTGTGGGCACTCCCATCACTGACACCCACAGCAAGTCTCCGTTTGGGGCACTCGGGGGAAAAAATCCTTTTGATGGGCAACATGCTGGTGTCGAGAATTAAGCAAGTAGATAGATTGCTCCCCTTTGACGCTCAGCACAGGTGCCCCATCTCAGCAGGCTGAGCTGAACCTGCGGCCTCTTGCCAGTCGAGAGCGGGAGGAGCTTGGGAGGGTCTGGGCCCAAGTCACCCAGCGCTGTTAGGCAAACCGACCACGGCCGCCTTGTTGCTTGGGTGATGTGTGACCCCAGGGATCGCAACCTGTGACTTAGCTTGAGATGCCAACCCAGCCAATTAAGGAAATGGAGGGTTACCATGAGACTCAGTATTCCACCCTACAGAAGAAGAATAAACTTGGAGTTAGCTGTTTCTTAAGAAGCCATTTTCCTGGCCTGTTTTGGTGAAATGAAATATTAAATAACCCCCTTTTTTTTCTTTTTTCTTTTTTAAAAAGCAAAGTGCAGCATCTGAGGATAATCTCAGAAGCTAGACAAAGATTCTTGTGAATTCTTGTGAACTAAATGGCCTCTTCAAATTCTTTGGGAGTTTGACCAGCCCATCCTGATTTCAGATAACCCGTGGGCTGCCATGCAAAAAAATAAAAATAAAACTCCAGCAGTCTTATTCTCTTTTCCCCCAGAGAAGAGGACCGGAAGGAAGGGGTGGGGGTCGCAGAATCCTGTCAAATTGTGCACAGGCAGCCTGGGGCCTGGGGCGCCCTGCCCTCTTTGCTGGACGGATGACTGTCTGCCCAGGATGCTGCTGCACTTCCAGACTCTCTCAGTTTCATGGTTCTTGGTGATTCTCTCAGAGATGAAGCTACCTTCTGTGTGGCAAAAACTCTCGAGGCCTCAGGAAAAAGCAACGTTTTTTCCTTGTTCAACTGCTAGTAGTTCAGCTACTGGAAATGGAACACAGTTGGAAGTGCTGGGAATTTAGTTGGAGATATTACATACGGACTAATCGTTCATGTGATTATGGGAACAATTTGGGCCAAATGAAAATGTGGGCAGCCACTCAGAAGGGTTTTCCTCGGAAGAGAATGTTTGCTGCAGTAAGTCCTTTTCCTGCTTCTCTAATTGGGCTCTTTAGACCCGAACCCAGCTCTAAAATGGAAAGATTTGGTCTCTTGTCATAGCCGGTAGATCCCGTGATTGATTGATTTTACATATCTCCCACAACAAACTAGTGTGGGTCAGCGTGGATGGGCAGGCAGGAAGAGAGAAAGTGGGGGAGTTTTAGGTACCTTCTCTTTTTATTCCCAGTAATAACCGCATTGCCTTGGAAGGAGCCCTCGCGCTGGCTTTGGGCCTGAAAGGAAACAAGAACCTGAGGAAACTCAAGGTGAGTAGCTTTTGGGAAGGTGACCCCGAGATCCAAATAGCCCTGCCAGGTAGGGGATGCCGAAGGGCTCTGTTCTTCCCTGTGCTCTGCAGATGTCCAGGAACCCCATCCAGAATGAAGGCTGCCTCGGGATCCTCAAAGCCATCAGAGTCAATCCTGGAGCTGCTATGGAACTTCTGGATTTTTCAGTAGGTGTCGGTCAAAGCGGGAAAGCTGCCTGCCTGAAATGGCATTGCAGGATTGTCAAAATGGATGGGGAAACAGAGCACACTTCACTGTGAGCTCCCAAAGGGTGGGGATTTGTGGGCAGTGAAGGTGTGAGTGGCACACAACTTCAACAAATGGGGTGCTTCAGCTTCAACGAGGGAAATCCAGATAAGAAATTCTGGGTGGATGTAATTCTGGGTTGTGCTGTGATCGGGTGAGCAGGCTTGTAGGCAGGAAGATAAAGGGAATAATGAGTTTGTGAAATTATTGCAACTGCACAGATTGAGGGAAAGGAAAGGCGGCCCTGGCTCGGAAGTAGTTTGCATTTTCTTCTTCCACGAGGCCTTTTCGCCTCCCCAATTTCCTTCTGGTCTTCCATCCGAGTAGCAACCAGACCTGCCGCTGCTTTGCTTCCAAGCCCAGAGAAGGTTGCAAAGTTAGGCTAAGGTTAGGCTAAGGCATTAAGGAAGGTAAAGACTCTACAGGTGCTGCTTTCCAGACTGGAACACAGCAGGGCTGGCTGGGTGGGTGGGGTAGACAAGACCATTTCTGCAAGCCCTGAAGATGCGGTCCCCGGCTCCACACAGCACAGCACCAACTGGGCCTTGATCCAAGAAGGATCATTGTCTCTCCTCCTCAGGTAGAAGGGGACGCAGCTGGTGTGGTCCCTGTCTTCAGGTGAACCTGCCTCACCTGGCTGCCTCCCTCCCTCCTTCCTCTCCCCTGGCCAGAAGCAGCTTTGCTTTGTGGCTGTTTGTTGGGCTGCAAGGGAACCCAAGATGAGAGACTGGTTTGCTTTAATCCGGCCTGAGACTGTGGCAGCTTTGGCTCTGACCTGCTCACTGCCTGGAATTCTTCTTTTCAGGCAATTGTGGTGAAACAGGACTTCGTCCAGGCGTGTGAGGCTGTCCAAGAACTTTTCCCAAGCCTTTTGATCCACCACGATGGAACCACTCGCTTGTTCGGAAGAACACTTTCAAAGGTGCAGCAAGTAACTTCGCTTAGATAGAGAATAGATAGCATACTTTATTGGCCAAGTGTGATTGGACACACAAGGAATTTGCCTTGGTGTAAATACTCTCAGTATACATAAAGGAAAAGAACCATTCGTCAAGAGTTGAGAATCATAAGGTACGACACTTAATGATAGTCGTAGGGTACAATAAGCAATCAAATTATACTAGGAAACAGTCAATAAAAATCGTAAGGATACAAGCAACAAAGTTACAGCCCTACAATCACAAGTGGGAGGGGATGGGTGATAAGGAGTGATGAGGAGATTAATAGTTATAGTAGTGCAGACTTTATAAATAGTTGAACAGTGTTGAGGGAATTATTTGCTTAGCAGAGTGATGGCTTTTGGGAAAAAACTGTCCTTGTGTCTAGTTGTTCTGGTGTGCAGTGCTCTATAGCGTCGTTTTGAGGGAAGGAGTTGAAACAGTTTATGTCTGGAATGTGAGGGGTCTGTAAATATTTTCCCAGCCCTCTTTTTGACTCGTGCAACATACAGGTCCTCAATTGAAGGCAGGTGGGTAGTAATTGTTTTTTCTGCAGTCCTAATTACTCTCTGAAGTCTCTGTCTGTCCTGTTGGGTTGCAGAGCCAAACCAGACAGTTATAGAGGTGCAGATGACAGACTCAACCATTCCTCTGTAGAACTGGATCAGCAGCTCCTGGGGCAGTTTGAGCTTTCTGGGTTGGCGCAAAAAGAACATTCTTTGTTGTGCTTTTTTGATGATGTTTTTGATGTTAGGTGTCCATTTTAGGTCATGTGATATAGTAGAACCTAGAAATTTGAAGGTCTCTAGTGTTGATACTGTGTTGTCTCGTATTGTAAGAGGTGGTAGTATGGGAGGGTTTCTTCTAAAGTCTTCCACCATTTCTACGGTTTTGAGTGTGTTCAGTTCCAGATTGTTCCGGTTACACCACGAGGCAAGTTGTATAACCTCCTGTCTGTATGCAGATTCATCGTTGTCTCGAATGAGACTAGTCACTTTTGTGTCATCAGCAATCTTCAGTATTTTAACAGATGGATCGTTTGAGATGCAGTCATTGATATATAGGGAGAAGTGGAGATAACACACGGCCTTGAGGAGGGGCCTGTGCTGATTGTACAGGTATCGGAGGTGATTCCGCCTAGCTTCACCTGCTGCTTTCTGTCTGTTAGGAAGCTTATGATCCATTTACAAGTGTGTTCAGGTACCGCTAGTTGGTTTAATTTACTCAGAAGAGTGTCTGGAATGATGGCATTGAATGCTGAACTGAAGTCTACAAAGAGGACCCTTGCGTAGGTATTTGGAGATTCAAGGTGTTGTAGGATGTAATGCACAGCATCATCTGTCGATCTATTTGCTCGGTATGCAAACTGCATGGGATCTAACAGCGGATCCGTGATGGTTTTCAGGTGGGACAGCACAAGCCTTTCAAATATTTTCATAACTACAGATGTTAGAGCAACTGGTCTATAGTCATTCAGTTCCTTGATGGAGGGCTTCTTTGGCACTGGGATGATGGTAGAGCGTTTGAAGCAGGAAGGAACATAGCACATCTCTGGTGATCTATTGAAGATTCGGGTGAAGATGGGGGCCAATTGGTCAGCACAGACTTTTAAGCAAGAAGGAATTATCTTGTCTGGCCCTGGTGCTTTTCCTAGCTTCTGCCTGGGTAATAGATCTTGCACTTCTTTTTCTGTAATCACCAGAGGTTGTGAGCCCAATGGATTGGGGCCAGTTGTAGGAGGCTTGGCTGTTGTTGGTGTGTTTGAGATGTGGGTTGTGGAGATAGGTGGCTGTAGTTTCTTTTCAAACCTGCAGTAACATGCTTGTCTTTTATTTATTTGATTTGTCAATCGTTTACAAGATGATAGGTATAAGTATAAACATGAGTAAGAATACAGGAAATAGGTACGAATAAATGGGGACAATAGGACAGGGACGGGAGGCACGATTGTACACTTATGCACAGCCCTTACAGACCTCTTAGGAATGGAGTGGGGTCAATAGTGGATAGTTTGAGGGTAAAGGGGTGGGCTTTAGATGATGTAGCAACAGAGTCGGGTAGTGCATTCCAGGCATTGACCACTCGGTTGCTGAAGTTGTGCTTTCTGCAATAAAATTTGGAGCGGTTTACATTGAGTTTATATCTGTTGGGTGCTCTTGTATTGTTGCGGTTGAAGCTGAAGTAGTCATTGACTGGTAGGACATTGTAGCAGATAATTTTGTGTGCTACGCTTAAGTCCAACTGGAGGCAGCGTAGTTCAAGGTTTGTCCAAACCCAAAATTTCAAGCCTGGTGATATGGGGTACTCTGTTGCGAGCAGAGGAGTGGACTGGTGAAATACTTCTGGACTCACTCAGTTGTATTAATTCCCATGGCTAGATGCCCTAAATGCAGGAGGCCTCCCCGTCCTTGGCAGCTTCAAAGACTTGTGGATGTCAACTCCTAGAATTCCATGCCGGCTGAGGAATTCTAGAAGCTGAAGTCCAGGAGCCTTTAAAGTTGCCACGGTTGGAGACCCCCTGCCCCGATGATGCACCGTGCCTTCCTACCACTGTCTCAGCGCAGGGAGGCCTGGCAGTGCATTGGGGTGGGGGTGGGGGGGGCGCTGCTAAAGGCGGGGGGGATCAGTGTGATGGCAGATGTGCCATGTTGTCAAACCACAAGCATCTCAGTGCTGCATACAAAGCTAAAAGGGGGCAGAGCTGGCAGCACAAGGCCCAAAGGAGGAAGCCCCCGCTGAGCAGGCGTGAGGGGTTTTGCAGCCCCTGGAATCCACCGGCTCCTGGGGATTCCCCGACTGTCCGTGCCTGCAGCCTCTGGGTTGCCCACCGTCCCGGGGAATATGCCTTTGCAGGGAAAATAATACAAAAGCCCTACGAGATATTTAAGGCGACTTCCATTTCTGGCTTTGACTTCGATCCAAGGAATGTTGGGTGGTTGGGAAGGAGATTCTGCGGCCCATGGTGCACTGCCTCTGCACAGCGGCACTGGGGGTGCCCAGCCAGGGAAGAAAAGGTGATTTCTTGCACTAGATCGGGGTGTCAAACTCCAGGCCCATGGGCCCGCCCTGGAAACAGCCCGCAGTGCCTCTGCCCGTGAACGGAGAGCTCGGGAAGGCCTCCGTCTCCACTGGCAGAGGGTTGCAGGAGGCCCTTGCAGCCTCTGGAGCCCCATTTTTGCTGGCAGGGCACTCAGGCCACCACATGCACCCCCGACATGAGTGATGCCAAGCTGGCCACAGCCTTCCTGCTCACACACACACACACACACACACCAGGTCAAACATTACCCTGATGGGGCCCTCAAAGGAATCAAGTTTGACACCCCTGGCCAGATGGAGGATTCCGGCTCCGCATGCCCATTGCTGTGGTGTCTAGACCAGGGTCTCCAACCATGGCAACTTTAAGACTTATGGACTTCAATTCCTAGAGTTTCTCAGCCAGCCAAGTCCACAAGTCTTAAAGGTGCCAAGGTTGGAGACCCTGGTTTAGATGGTAAGCCTGATTCTGGTGCTTGGTAACACACCTGCCTTCCCAAAGCAAGCACCTTTCTTAGCACCTGAGGCCTGGATGCAGCTCTGGTTGCTTTCCAAAGGCCATAATTTTGCACCAGGAAACAGAGAAATCCGATGGTGCCAGAAGACAGTGGCATTGACTCCTTGGTGGACTTAAAGATTAACAGAGTTGGAAGGGAACTTGTAGGTCATTTAGTCCAACCCCCACATCCAAGCAGGAGACCCTACACCATTTCTGACAAATCTCTTCTTGAAAGCCTCCAGGGATGAAGCTCCCACAACTTCCGAGGGCAACTTCTGTTCCATCGGTTGATTGTTCTCCCTGTCAGAAAGTTTCTCCTTATTTCCAGGTTGAATCTCTCCTTGTTCAGTTTCCATCCATTGTTCCTTGTCTGGACTTGTGCGTGTTCTCACACTTGCAGGTTTCCTAAAGAGGTTCCTGGTCGCTCTGGAAGATCAGCCTTTTCTTGTGGACGTCCCAGATGGGAGAACTGCGGTGAAACGTCGGCTGATCCTTGATAAGAGGTTCAGGCCTTGTGATTCCCCTCCCCTACACGGGGGCTTCTCTTTGTGCAAGAACCGGCATGTTGTGTGTAAGGCCACTTTGTCATGTGCTGAACGGTTGCTGCAGGGGTTTCCTTCCACGGATTTTGGCACCCTGCAGCCCGAGGGGATCCATTGGCACCAGAGGTAGCCAAACCCTCCAGCCAAAACCCTTAACCAGAGGTAGCCAAACCCTTGAGGCAAACCCTCCAGGGATTGTCCGAGCGGACTTCCATTGAGGCTAACAGGAAGCTGATAAAAATCTGGGAAGGAACTTTGGGTGCCTTTATTCCCTCTCATTCTGCAGAGTTTGGGAACTGCTCTTCTATCCAAAAATCCGTCCCGGTACTTTTAGCCAAATTATTTTGTGTGCCACCCTCAATTGTAAACCTTTCCTCTTGCACAATCTGCACAGCTTCCCCTGAAAACCTTTCCAGTTGCCAGGATCGTACAGCAGACTTCCTGGCTGGAGGTTGTCCCAGAGGAAGTTGTCCTTCCCCTACACACACACACACACACACCCCGCAGGCAGCCCAGTCGTGTTGGCCAGAGGCGTGGAGGTGACCCTCTCCCCTGCTGGAGAGCTTCTGCTTGGGGGAGGCCACCCATAACCACCCCTCCCCTTCAGGTATCTTCACACAGCTGTAGTGAAATTCAGGGGCGGATTGGCCACAGTCCAGGGCCACAGCTTCCTGGGTGCATGTGGTCAGCTCCAAGCCATATCGAAGGGTGGGGCCAAGAGAAAGATGAAGGAAGAGGCAGCAAAGGGTTGGGGAGAGAAGAAGGGTAACACACACTCCCTCCCCCCCTCCCCCCCAAAAAAAAGTGTGGGTCAAGCAGTGGATTACTCACATGCTGTTTGCTTGCTATGGGGCCATTTGTAGTAAATAATGTATCTCACTCCAGCTCTCTTTTTTTATTTTTTTATTTTTGTAAACTTCAATTTTGCCAGAGAAATCTTGTATTTAAGTTTGAGGTATTCTGCCCAGAGTCACTTTGTGCGAGATGGGCGTCCATATAAATTAAATAAATAAATCTAAATCTATACACCCCCTAAAACTCTCGTGCCTGTAACGTTTAGCTGGGTGAAAAGGTACATCATAGGCCATAACTTTTTCAACCAGTATGACTCAGATGGGCTAACTTACTGAATATGTATGTCCAAAATATGGGGCATAATAGCTCTTGTAGAATTGAAATTTGGCAAATTTTGTACAATATTTTGTGACAGAAAAATTAACATTTTAAGAAGTAATAAAAAAGTCAGAAAACATTTCCTGTGGTCAATGTTTGTCTGTGCTATAAAATTCAACACGGGCTACTTCCAAGGCTGATACGTCTCAGAATATTATCCTGAATTTTTAAAGAACTTTTCAAGTACTTTAGAAGCTCTGCCATTCTTAAAGATACTGAGGAATCTGGCAAGAAAAAATTTCTAAAACAATGACCCAACAGGGCACGGGTGGTCTAGTAAATAGATAAAACTCACTGGGTGAATTAGCGTAGGAGTCTTCATACGTTTCCACAGAAAAGAGGAAAGAGATCACTGTGCTTTCTGTGCCATGAAAAGAGACATGCCTCAGAAAGCAGAAATCTAGTAATTCTTTAAAGCTCTGCTACTCCATAAGCTTTTGTAGATCACAGACTTTTAAGATAGCTACAAGTATCTTTATTTTGATGCAGAAGTTAATATAGCTACTAGGCCTTGGTTTGAAACTAGCCTTAAATGCATCATGTTAGTTCCTAACTAGGACAATTGGAATCAGAAAGTGACCTCAATCTGGCATTGCAAGGATGGAAATTCGCACACCAGTTTAAAAGATTTAGCAAGTTCTTTGGTTTCTTTTTTTTCCTCTTGAGAATGAAGTAACCAGAGCTGTAGACTACATTGCCATTAATTAACTGATCAGGTCATTTAACCAGCTAGTCTCCTACAGTTTTTTTTTTTTTAAATTCCTGGGGTTTGAAGGTGGGAGGAGCACACGGGAGAAATGTCTTTGATGCGCAGTGTGCTACAGTTCTTTGAATGCCACCAGGTGGGTCTGGTAGCTATGCAAGAAAAGCTTATGGAAAGATTTTATTAGAAGCCGCTATTTTATAGAAAGATGCGGTCTTTTTTTATTTTTTTTAACCCTATTCCATTCATGCATTTTAATGTTATGCACGAGTGGAATTCTTTGAAAAGTTTTCTACTAAAACTGTAACCTTATTAAACTTCTTGCGATGACTGTTGTGGGATAATGCAAGTGGGAAGGAATGGAGGCCCCTCTGAGCAAGGGGGCTTGAGGGGAGCAGGCTGGGTGGGCGCAAGGTCCGGCCTCTGTCTTGGGAGTGAAGGGCAAAGGGTGCGCTCCCGAAAGAGGGAGCGCGCTTGGGCAAGCCAGGCCTTTGCTGTAAGGAAGCTGGAATTTATATTAATACTCAGGACAGTCACTCCTCCTGTCTTTAACTCCACTCCCCCTTTTTGTCACTCACAAGAACCGGTGTGGATTTGGGATTTCCGAAGGGGGAAAGGCGGCCTGCACACTACATGCCTGGCTGAAATAATCTGCAGCACAACATCACTTGAATCGGTCACCGCCCTGCAGAAACAAGTCTTTATCATTTGGCTGGTTGGCTTCTTGGCCAACTGCCATTGCACAAAGAGTCACCACACACAAAAGGAAAAGAAGAAGGATGTGGCCAGGGCAGCCACACATAAACTTACACACACAAACACACGGTGCACACAGTTAAGCAGGAAGCGGAGGAAGTGCCCAGCGGGAAGAGGGATGGGGCTGCCAGGCAGGACAAACCCTGCACAGCCCCTCCCAGCGAGGAAAGCTGCACAAAGGGAAGCAGGATCTTCCTCTAGGTTATTGTCCCCAAATGAACGTTTGACTTCTCTCTCTCTTCTCCATCCTAGCAGGCATCTCCTCTTTCCCCAAAGGGGGCTTCCCCCCTACTGCGGCCTGTCCTTCATGGACCTAGAGGCAGCCCCTTCTCACAGGAGAGCCCACCCCTCCTATGTGCTCCGTGCACCCTCCAGGGGGCACATGCTGTTGCCCCCCCCTTGGGTGAGGGTCTGTGCTGGAGGGCAGCCCCCTTGCAAACACTGCAGCCCAGGCTAGTTCCAAGAACCAGGAAGGACCTTGGTGTTCTCACAACACAACCCCGAGAGGCCATGTGTTCACACGGCACGCCAAGTCAGGGCAATTACAAGCTGTATCTTCCCCACCGGTGCAGCTGGGAGAAATTTAGCATGGCGGTCTCTGGGTCCGTGTGTTGGTTGTGTGTGGTTTAGCATGTGGCGCCAACCTACAATTGGGTCATTCGGGGTATTTGGCAAAGCAAGATCCTTGGGAAAGGGTGCTGTGTGAACTCAGCTGTTCTCCTTTCCCAGCTTCTCCACCCCGAGGGAACAAGGGGAGGCACCCGTTGTAACCTTTGCTCTCTGTTTCTGGGGAAGTCCAAGCTTTGGCTTTCTTCTCCCTACTTCTCCCTCCACTGTTTCTCTCCACATTGAGGCTGCTTTGCTCTAGGCCAGGGCTCTCCACTCTTGGCCACTTGAAGGCTTGTGGACTTCAACTCCCAGAATTCCTCAGCCAGCTTTGCTTTTGGATTTCAACTTCCAGTAATGGCCACCGTATCCAAGAAAAATGGAAAGGGGTCCAAGGCTCCCCTCCAGCTTTGAAAGCTGCAAATGTAATCGATTTGTCCCACTGATATGGTCTAAGTTCTCCTGCCTGAGCAGCGGGTTGGACTAGAAGACCTCTGAGGTACCTTCCAGCTCTATTCTGATTGATTGATAGATTGAATTCCTCAGCCAGCAAAGCTGCCTGAGGAATCATAGAAGTTAAGTCCACGGCTCTTGAAAGTTGCCAAGGTTGGAGACCCCTGCCCTGGGGCTGTCCAGGCAGAGAAGAGAAGAATTAAAAAAAAAAAAAATCAAGGTGGCCCCCACCATAGAGTTGCCTTGTCGAGGCTGCCATGTTGACTTCCTTTGACCAGCCTTGGTTTGCTCCTGCTGTGGCCAAAGCCTCACCGCGCTTGGTGGCCTCTACCAGCTCCCTGCTCGCTTCCACCCCATCGGTGGTGCTACCCCCCCACCCCCGTCCTCCTTGCATCTGGGCAGCATCCCAAAGCCACGCTTGTGCAGGAAGAAATGTACTGACCCACGCTCTTAACACCTGCCCGTTCCAGCTCTAAACACCCTGTCACCTGGATGGGTGTGTCTGTGCAAGAGAGAGATGCTCAGGCTCTCAGGTGTGCCGGGGGGTCACCTTTGCTAGTGATCAAGGACCCTGTTTGAGACCAGAACTGGAAAATCTGCTCATCTCAAGAGTTAGTCCAACATTCTGACAACCCTGCCCCTGCCCTACCCTGCGGGAGCCAGTGGTGGTATGCTACCGGTTCGGACCGGTTCAGCTGAACTGGTAGTAAAAAACAAAACAAAACACAAGCGGACGGATCAGCTGAGAGGAGGGGAAAAAATCCCTGGGGCTGCAGGTTTCAGCTGGCATGGGGAAAGCTGCACGCCGGGTTAGGCAAAGCACGCCCACCAAACCGGCGGTAAAACAATGGGAATCCCACCACTGGCAGGAACCCATCCAAGAGGGCAGCGTCCTGGCATACATAATGCATCCTGCCCTCCTCCACTGATTGATCAAGACCCCAAAATGGCAGGCCAGGCACCGCCTCTTGGAGGGCAGGTCAGAGAGGAGGGGGGGGGCAAGTGGATGGCACAAAGGGGGCACACGGGACCCCTTTGCTGGAGGAGGGTTTAGCTGGGCTGCAACGCGGGGCACAAGCAAAAGGAGCCCTTTCTCAAGGCCGTCCGGCAACCGGATGAGTCCAGTCTTCAGGTCAGAGAAGTGGGGGCCAGGTAAGAGAGGAGCAATTGGGGTGGGGCAGCCCCCCTTGGCAGTAAAAGCTTGGTTTCTCCCCAGACTTTCCTGCCTGCGCTCTTCTCTGCCCAGACTGGAGAGCAACGGGTGGGGTGCGGTGGGGCAGGGTGGGCGAGGGAAGCGTGACCTCTGCTAGACGTTCCCAGGTCATCTCTTGGCTTCTTCGCCATTCTCCTGGGCATCCGTCAGGCCCTGGGCTGGCACCATCCTGGGCTGCACGGTCTGCACCGTCTCCTCCAGGCTGCTGCTAGGGAAGACCACG